TTTAAAATTTTAATCGGTTAAAATTGTATCTTTAAAATATACATAAATAAAAAAAATTGTATATATATAATTGTTAATTTCACCTTCTAAATAATATAAAACTTTTAAATCTATCAAAATAATTACAATTAAAAAAATATCTCAACATAAAAGAATACGATAAAAAATTCTCTCAAAATAAAAATAAAAAATCTTTCTCACGATAAAGAATATGATAAAAAATCTCCTGAAAAATATAACTAAATATTACGTCAAATAAAAATACAATCTAACAAAAAGCGGATTATGTACGTACATGGAATGGAATATTTAGTTGTTTTTGGAGAAAACAAAACAAAGATGATATGAATGCACATGATCCTCCTGCAAAACCCTTACACAACACTTTCTAGGAACCGATCCCCAACCACCATCCTTTTCAAACATACCCTACATTTTTTCTTTTCATATTTACTGATTCATACAAGATAAATTAATTTACGTCATATATATATATATAACAATACAATTTTATAAAGATATATATTACTTAATATGTTACGAAAATTAAAAATTGTGTTTGGTTTTCCTAACAGTATTATATTATATAATTAATACATCATTTTATTTTATTCATAAAACAATTTAACAATTCAAGGAATTTACACATTTTAAAACAATCACGGTGAAAAAAATTACATTTTTTATAAATAACTTTTTAAAAATTAATTATTTATACTACTTCAGATTACAAGAGCTTTCTTCGGTTTGTCAATTACTTTATTTAGAGGTTGACACGAATTTCTTAAGAAAAAGAAACGTATGAAAACAAATATTAATACCAAAATATGAATCTTACAAAAAAAAAAAATTACCACCACTTATACACCGTTTTGATAACTTTAGTTAAGAACTTAGAAACTCAATAATTTAATAAAAGGAATAAGATCACCTGAAAACTATTAAAAGAGAAAAGGAAAATAAAACTTAAAAGATTATATATATTATGATTCTTTATCAATTTTATTAAGCTTTGATTCAATACTTGCAATAAAAAAAACACATAATTTTTCTCTAATTGTATAATGAAATTGGAAAACTTTATCTTATGATTGCAAATTATGTAAAACAAAAATATATATATTATTCCTAAGTCTTGTACTGTTAGTAGTCAAGTTAAATATAGTTCTTATACAAAATAAAACTTTGTATAGTTCTTATATCATATTCTTCAACAAATAATGATAAATTAGGTCAAGAGAATGACAATAAAAAAGTTCACCACTCAATATTTATTGTTTTACAAGTTATAAGTGATTTTGAGAATTTCTTTAATAGAAATATGATTTATTTTAAAAAAAAAAAGCATTTTAAATTTTGTATCCAACCCATCTTCTAACTACGTCTCACTTCACTTGCGTCCAAGAAACCATTGAAACTGTTGTGAAACAACTTGTTGAAATTATTAAGGATCGATTATTACACTAATTATTTCAATATTCCAACTTTACCCTAATGATATAACGGTATAGATACGCATGTCTTAGTTTCTAATTTTTTAGAGGTTAAAAATTAAAATTTTATCCCTCCTCGGTAGGTTTCAGGTTTCTTTATTTTGATCCGTCCTTTATTTCATATTATTTTTAAAAAATAATTATACATATAATAAATTAAGTTTAATATATTTTTATAAAAAATAAGTATTTATAACTGTTTAATTATTATTATTAATTAAATATATATTTTAATTTATTATAATTATATTAAAATATATATAAAAAATATTTAATTATTTTTTTATATAGATATAAAATATTTATAATATTATTATTATTATATATTATAACATTGTATTTAAATATTTAATTATATATATAAATTAGTCTTTTTTTAATTATTACTTTAAAATATTCATAAATATAATATATTTATAAGAAAATATTTAATAAATTAATTTTTATTTAATTAGTTAAAAATAATAAAATTTTAATTAATAATTTTTTTAAATATAATTATTTTACTAAAAAAATTTGATATAACAAACAATAATAATAAAATCTAAAAATTATAAAATGATAAAACTTAATAAAGATAAATTACAAGTAAAATAATATTAGTTAGTATTAAAATTAATATGGAATATTTAGAAAAAGATAAAGAAAAAAATTATATTTTATGTTTGTCAAATTCATTGAAAAGATTGAAAAAATAAATTCAAGATGTGAGAAACTCAAGATAAGAAAAAGTGAATAATATATTGAATTGATTGATCTAAGAAATTAAAAATAACAAAAAAGTGAAAAGTGGACAAAAAATAATAAAAATTGGTCAAATATAAAAAAATGATATTATATAAAATGAAAAATAAAATAAAATAAAATATTTTTGAAATATTAAATTTTCAGGATTTAAATTTAAATATAAAACTTGATGGGGACGATGTAGGATGAGGATTACATTATCCATCCTCGCTCTCAACTTTTTAAAATAAGAAAAATAGAAACTTGTTCTTAATTACCTTAATTTTCTCTATCAAATTTTGGATAGAGATAGATCGATCCTTATAAGTATGAATTTAATTGTCATCTTATATATAACATTATCATTTTTCTTGTAATGTATGAATAAAAAAAATGTAAGAAGATCGTTAAAGAAGTTATTTGCGATAATTATTAATAAATAAGATTAATATTTCATTATAGATTTTACAAATATAAGTTATTTAAAATTATAGAAAAATAATTTTATAAATATATTTTTTATTTTAAATATTTTTTCTATTTTTAATCAATATATGTAGAATTTATAATAAAATAATATTTTTATTCTTACATAATTTTTATTAATAAATTCTTTTAGGAATACGTTAGACTTAAAATTAATTATATTCATTGTGAAATATCATTAAATACACATATGGAAGGAATTGGATAAGGTTAAACAAATTTAAAAATGTAAGAATATAAAATTAAATAACTTTGAAAAATTTAATTGACACCTAATTAAATTTTATTTGTATATTTCTTTCTTAGTTAATGAATTATAATTCAAATAATTAATTATTGTATGGGGTGTGTTTTAGGCTGAAAATTAGTTTGTAACTAAAAATATCATTAAAAAAAAAATTAGTGTGTAAGTATTAAACAAAATTATAATAAAGATGGGTGGTTTGAGTTTGTGATTATAAACTATTTTAAAAATTGAATCGACGAATCGGTTCAATCGATTGAATTTTTTTTTTTAAATAATTAGATTTTAATTAAATTAATAAAATTATTAAATTAGAATTTTTTTATCAAATTAATTTTGGTAAAAAATAAAAAAATAGATAATTTTTTAATAAATTTTTTTTTATAAAATATATAATATATTTTTTTTATTATTTTATATTTATGATGTCAATTTAAATAATAATAATTTTATTAGATTTTTATTTTATTTTAATAATTATTTATATTTTTTTTATATATTTTATATTAACAATTTTTTATTATAATATAATATTAATCTTTATTATTTTTATTTTTTAAAAATATTAGTATTAATAAATTTATTATATTATAAAAATATTTTATTAAATTAAGTTCAACTATTAAATCTTTAAACCTTGTTTAAAAATAACTTTTTTCTTAGTGATTAAATAAAATGCTGAGTATTATATTGGGACCACGTGTTTGTTTGTTTAATTTAAAAATGTAAAATTTGCCGACACCACTCTCCGCCCAATAAGAATGCAGAAAGAAGAATTCACCTATCAAACCCCGACACATGTCAAAGCAAAATAAAATAACTTATTTCAAAAATAAAAAGAAAATTAAACCAAAATAGAAAAATAATAATAAATTTTGAGAACAATTTTAAATATTTTATTATAGCAGACGAATCAGACCTCGTATATAAAAAGATGTTATTTAACTTTTAGAATTTGTAAAAGTAAGTAAGCATTTTTTTTTGTAATATTAACAATATATTAAAATTACAATTTTTAAAAAAATTTACTTTGTATAAAAAGATGAAAAAAATGAATAATTTAAAAAAGTGCCCTTTTTAGTCCTTTGAATAATTTTTTGAATTAATTCAAGGGATTTGATGACACTGTTAGCTTTTATACTGCTAACCAATAAAATTATTTATCATAATTTTTAAAATAATTATTATAAAAGTTGATATACTTACGATTTATAATGATCTATGATTGAACAAGTGTATTTCTTATTAGTTTTAGTTTACTTAAATTATTAGTTTCTCAAATTTTATTTTATTCTTTTATAAATTGAATCAATTATATTTTCTTTAATTTAACAGCTAAATATAATTACCCAAAATATAGAATTTCATTCATAGTAAAAAATATATAAAAAAACCTATTTAAATCCTAATCTTTAATCTTATATAGGAATGGAATTTAGAAGGCTAATCTTTTAAAAAAAAAACAGATATCGCAGTAATTTTTTATTGTTTTATAAGGAACGTATTAAATAGAATTATATGTAAAAAATAATGTTTTTATTTTATTGTGAAACTCCAATGTTAAAACGATGGCGTATTTGCATTTTTGAATTTTATTTTATTATTTATCCTATAAATATATATATTTTTTCTATTCATTATATATTATATTTTCTTTTTTTCTACGTGATGAAATAAAAAATAGTTATCTTTTTTTTCAGCTTCTTCATATATATATATATATATATATATATATATTTTACATTATTTTTTCGTTAATCATACATTACATATTTTTTTCTTGTTCAAACGGAAACAGAGATTGATACAAACAATTTTTTCTTATTTAAAAATTATCTTAAGTGTATTAAACATGATTATATTTTTATTACATGGTTAAACTCTTAATTAAGGAGAAAAATAATAGATACATTATCGTAATACCGGAAACACCCTTTGTTTTCGTTATCATTCATTCGGGTAGAAAAACGCGCAAGACAAAGGGTCACACTCACACTGGTAGATCAGAAGAGAGAGAGAGAGAGAGAGAGAGAGAGAGAGAGAGAGTTGCAATGGCGAAAAAGGCAGTGTTGATCGGAATCAACTACCCGGGGACGAAGGCGGAGCTGAGAGGTTGCATAAACGACGTGTGGCGGATGCATCGCTGCCTCGTCGAGCGTTACGGATTCTCCGAAGACAACATCACCGTTTTGATCGACACGGACAGGTCGTACACGGAGCCCACGGGGAAGAACATTCGATCGGCGTTGACATCACTGGTCCAATCGGCGGAACCGGGGGATGTGCTGTTCGTGCACTACAGCGGACACGGTACGCGCCTGCCTGCGGAAACGGGAGAGGATGATGACACTGGATATGATGAATGCATTGTTCCTTCTGATATGAATCTTATCACTGGTTGGTTGGTTACTACCTGGATCCGTTTCTAACTCTGTTTTGTTCTTTTGTGGTTTTTGCTGCGAGGTTATGGTCGTTTTTTTTTTTCTGATTGGCTTTGTTGTTTTCAATGTGTGGGGAAGATTGTTTTTCTTGTTTCAACTGCTTTTAAGTTGTTTGTTTGGAATTTGTGAAAAGAAAAATTCTGAAAAATAACTTGTTTTTTTAATCTGAAAATTTGTAATTTACAATTGCTATTTTGTTTATGTAAAAGGGGAGTTGCCTTCAAATGAAACTAGTTATTTTGGAAAAAAAACTTTGACCAAATCTATATAAACAAAAACTACTCTGATAATAATTTATTATATACGTATAATTGATGACTGAAATAATTTAACATTTAGTAGTTATCTCACATAAATGTTGGAATCATTGAATTGTTTGCTTGTATTTTGTTATCTGCGTTTTGTGATGAAGGAAAAGTTGAACTAGATCTGGTGGTATGCGTGTGAAAACAGTATAGATTTGTGACACCGTCTTGGGGAATGTTTAATTTTAGAAACGGTGGATGGAGTGAAATGCACCAAATTAGTGCTTTCAATTTATAGAGTTGTTCTATGTATTTACATTATTAAACAATAAGAAATCACCCCCTTATAATTTTTCAAAGGATTAAAACCCTTTTCTGGATATGAGGTAGAACTGGCTTTGAGACTTGCTTTATTGGAAATATGGAACCTTTTTCTGTAGAGAAGTTTTCCAAAACTTCTAGAAACACTTATAGTTTCGTATCCAAATAAACACTCAGTCCTCAGGTAAACAATCTATACATTGATTTTACAATGTCCTTATGAATGAATGATCATACGTGACAACTTAATTCACTTTTACAGAAACTTTCTATTATGTACGACCTTTTTTATTAGCTATGAAACTTAAACTCTTTTAGAAAGATATTATTATTAAAATTACTAACATTTTGTAATAATTACTCTACAAGCATATCTAAAATGATTTCTAACTGATTGACGAAAAACTTTTATAGATTATATTGATAGTATATGAAAATTAAACTCATGTTACTGATGTTTTTAAGTTCATCGATTAATGTAATTTATCACTGCTTATTTAATGGTGGTTATCACGTTTGTGGAGTTTCCCACAAAGTTGAGACCAAATTTGGTCGACCTTGGTCAACAGTGGAAAAAAAATAGATATGTTTGATTAGTAAAATGAGCTGATCAATGATTTTTCTTCAGCCCTATGTTTTACCTGTGTTTGTTTGAGTAATTTTCATGTTTATAGCAACTAAATTGGAGAATTGTGTCAGTATTTTGTGTTTTTTTGGGTAGAATAATGTTGCATTGACATGATTTATTTGGGGAGTAATAAACTATCTGTGCCTGTGCCAACAGATGATGATTTAGGGAATTTGTTGAAAACTGATTCTTTTTTATATCATACAATTCTCCCAGGCCAAACACATTCTTAATTCTTAATGTAATATCTACTTAATTTATAAAACAGTAGAATTAAATTAGTGTTATGTTTAAGATGGAAGATTGTTGCTTTGTGATGATTTTTCTTTGTGGAAGTTACAGGCTACTTGTGTATGTCTGTGCAAACAGATGATGATTTCAGGGAATTTGTGGATGGGCTCCCTAGAGGTTGCAAGATCACAATTGTGTCTGATTCTTGCCACAGTGGTGGCCTACTTGAAGAAGCCAAGGAGCAGATAGGACACAGCACAAAGGGAGCGGAGGAACAGTCTGGCTCTGGCTCTAGCTTTGGATTTTCAAGTTTTCTACATCGTACTGTGGAAGATGCCATTGAGTCTCGCGGATTCCATATCCCGTCAGGATTGCGCCACCACAAAGGCAGGGATGATGGAGATGAAGATAGGGATATTGATCTTCCACATGGGGACTATGGCTATGTAAAGAGTAGATCTTTGCCCCTTTCAACCCTTATTGATATACTCAAGCAGAAAACCGGGAAAGATGATATTGATGTTGGAAAACTGAGACCTACCCTTTTTGATGTCTTTGGGGAAGATTCTAGTCCTAAAGTGAAGAAGTTCATGAATGTTATTTTGAATAAACTTCAACAAGGAGGTGGTGAAGGTGGGGGTGGAATAATGGGGTTGGTGGGTGGTCTTGCCCAAGAGTTTCTCAAGCATAAGATTGATGAGAATGATGAGGGATATACAAAGCCTGCACTGGAGACACAAGTGAAAAATAAGCATGAGGCCTATGCTGGATCGTCCACACACGGCCTTCCGGATGGTGGGATTCTGATGAGTGGATGTCAGACTGACCAAACTTCTGCAGATGCAAGTCCTTCAGGAAACGCTTCCGGTGCTTATGGAGCTTTTAGCAATGCAATACAGGCTATAATTGCGCAGAGTGATGGTGCAATCACAAACCAAGAACTTGTTCAGAAGGCACGGGAGAAGCTCAAGAGGGAGGGTTTTACTCAGAAACCCGGACTCTATTGCAGTGATCACCATGTTGATGCTCCTTTTGTGTGTTGATCTGTGCTTTTCGGATGCAGAGAAAGAGAGAATAATGTGTGCTGTGTACTTGTCTATAGTATGCTTGTGTATTGCTGTATATGTTTGGACTATGAAAATAAAGTTTTTGTTTTCATACAGTTATCATATGCTGCTCTGCTATCAGGTATGGACTATTTACTCCCAACGTTTCAGCTCTTCTTATGCCTTGGCTGATTAAAATTATAGTGTCTTTGCTGCTACATCCATTGCGCTGGGAGACCGAACTATCAGAACAAGGTCCATGCACTACACCTCAGATTTAGAATCTGAATACATTGGTGTACATGAAATTATTATAAAATATACTGTTAAATTTTCTGTCGTTTGAATTATTCTTGCAGCTTTGTAAGGGTTTGAATTTGTTGAACAAATATAATGTTCAGTTGTTTCTCTTTCTTCAGGTGTTCAGAAAATAGGAGAAATGGAGGATTTCTAATCTCTTCATTTGTTGTCCTTTGTTATTCAAACACACATTTTCATCTTTCAAAAAACAAGATTAACCTCAGACGTGTAAAATTTACGTTATCCCTAATGGCTTATCAGCGTGACACCCAATCTCCCCATTATACAAAGAGGTTTTTCCCAATAATTAGGTGCAACAAAATTCACAAGGTTTATAAGATGAGTATTCGAGGAATTTACAGAGAAAAAAAGGGAAACGTGGGAGAGGTAAACACTTCATACAAAATCCTTTTCTATGAGAGATAAAGTGAGATTAAGTCCAAGTTTTTCTCATTTTTTTTTTTTTGTTAATATATATTGATGCAATTTAGCTTCTTAGGTAGTTTCTTGTAAATAAACACATGAAAACACTCAAAATCTAAAATCAGACTACAAATAATTTAAATTCTGTCCGCCACCTTTCTATGTCTAGTGAGGATCCTTTTATAAATTTGGATATAACATATTCTTACGAGTCTAGTAGAATGTATTTTCATGCTTGACGAAATTTAAATTCTTTTACCCGTGTACTTTTCGACACCTTGATCTTTTTATACCTTAACTGCTATAGATTATCTTGACAGAAGTTTAACCGTGATTACTTTCACATCTTCATGGTCAAAATATTATTTTTATCAACTTCATTCAAGATCTATGTTAGAGTTCGTTTTTTTGACTAATATTAATTGAAGTTTTAATAAATAATGTTAGTACTTCTTTCGATTCTCCACTTTACACACATATTAACGAAACATTAGATCGTATGCAGTTCTTGGCATTGGAATTTGAAAGCGTGTGTCGAAAAAACGCGTAGATGTTTTTATTATACATTTTTATGTCTTGACGTTTTTATCATACATTTAAAATCATTAAACAGGTCATTTAATAAATTAATTTTAATAATTAAAATTACATATAACAATTTTAAAGAACGTAAATATCATTATTTGGTGAGGCTAAAAATAGAAATAAAAATTTATAAGCTTTAAATATTTAAATGAAATTATTATAGAGATAAAAATAATAGCAATGCCAGCACACACTAACCAACAAATGACAGAGAAGATTGGTCCAAGTTATCCCACGCCATGGAAGCACAAACCAGAGTATAATAATAACGTGTTTGTCGTGATAACTTTTAAATAGTATTAAATTTATTAATAATTTCTATTGTTGTCTTAAATTATGCTCAAAACTATCCTCAATTGTCACGCAGCTTTTTATCTCATTATTTTGCACCTAATTAGTGTCTAAAAAAGACAACAATAATCTTATTAATTTTTTACTGGGTCAGCTCTTCCAATTTTCAAAAAGAAAGAAAGAAATTTGTGGGGAGAGAGAATACTACCATAAATAAGCACTCTTCTTTCGTGATGAGGTAAGAGAAAGTAAGAGAAAGAGAGAGAGAAAGATTCACACACCTGGTTTCAATTCCAGCTGAGGAAGAGAGAGTGAGAGAGTTGCAATGGCGAAAAAAGCAGTGTTGATCGGAATCAACTACCCTGGCACGAAGGCGGAGCTCAAAGGTTGTATAAATGACGTGTTGCGGATGCACCGCTGCCTCGTCGAGCGTTACGGCTTCTCCAAAGACGACATCACCGTTTTGATCGATACCGACAGGTCGTATACGGAACCAACGGGGAAGAACATTCGCTCAGCGTTGACCAGGCTCATACGATCGGCGAAACCGGGGGACATGCTGTTCGTGCACTACAGCGGACACGGTACGCGCTTGCCTGCGGAAACGGGAGAGCATGATGACACTGGATATGATGAATGCATTGTTCCTTCTGATATGAACCTCATCACCGGTTGGTTACCATCGCGATTTCTGCATGTTTTGACTTTTTCGTTTTGAAACGTTTTCTAAAACTTTTTCATCCTGTTCGAAACTAACGCTCTAGAATCTATTATGTTTTGAAAATTATTTTCAATATAAATGTTTCCGTAACCAAGAAAGTAAACTCCGCTGCAAGATAATTTCTCTCCTGTTTTCATTTTGTTTATCTCTCCAACTTGACCTTTGGTAGCATGTGTAAATAGGAGAAACATGATCAAAATAAACGGTTTGGCTGAATAAAAAAGAGTGTAAATAATATTTTTTATTTTTATGTTATTTCTCACAATTTTTTTTTCATTTTTATTTACTCAAATGATTCTTAATTTTCTGTTCCTCTTCAGTCAACCTTCCTTAACTCTTTGAGGATAAGAAAGTAACAGTTAAGAGTGGAACAAGGTAAAATAAATCGGTTAATTTTGAACGAACTATCTTGATATGAATTTAGATTTAAGTGGCGAGGAGTTCAGGACACTTGATCAAAGTGGTTGGGATTTGAATTTAACTCTTAGTAATGCATTGGAAACAAAAAAAGAGGAGGATGGATACTCTTATGAAAAAAAGGGAGTAATTTATCCCATAAAACACACTTGGCACCTTAGAAATATTTATCGTCTTTAGTTTAAGTAACTCTGACATTTTTTATGTGTGCTTGTAACAGATGATGATTTCAGGGAATTTGTTGACGGGGTCCCCAGAGATTGTAAGCTCACAATAGTATCAGATTCTTGCCATAGTGGTGGCCTAATTGACGGAGCTAAGGAGCAGATAGGAAATAGTACAAAGGGAGAAGGGCAACATTCTGGTTCTGGTTCTGGCTTTGGTTTGTCCAGTTTTCTACTTCGTACTGCGGAGGATGCCATTGAGTCTCGTGGAATTCATATTCCTTCTTCATTACACCGTCATGGACACAAGCATGGGCACAAACATGATGAAGCTGATGATAGAGACATTGAACTTCCACATGCGCAGTATGGCTATGTAAAGAATAGGTCATTGCCACTTTCTACTGTCATAGACATACTAAAGCAGAAAACTGGAAAAAATGATATAGATATTGGCAAATTGAGACTTTCACTTTATGATATTTTTGGGGAAGATGCTAGCCCTAAAGTAAAGAAGTTCATGAAGGTTATATTGAACAAACTTCAACACGGAGATGGTGGAAGTCAAAAACACGGTGGAATCTTGGGGTTGGTGGGTAATCTTGCCCAAGAGTTTCTCAAGCAAAAGTTGGACGCAAACGATAGTGAATATGCAAAACCTGCCATGGAAACAAAAGTAGACAGTAAATATGAAGCATATGCTGGATCAACAAAGCCTCGTATTCCAGACGGTGGAATTCTGTTAAGCGGTTGTCAGACGAATCAGACCTCTGCAGATGCAAGCCCTTCCGGTAATGCTGCCAACGCTTATGGTGCTTTCAGCAATGCAATCCAGGCTATAATTGGAGAGAGTGGCGGTGCAGTCACAAATAAAGAACTTGTTTTAAAGGCAAGAGAAAAGCTGAAGAGAGGAGGTTTCACGCAACGACCAGGACTCTATTGCAGTGATCGCCATGTTGATGGTTCTTTCGTGTGCTCATAAGTTATCATCTGGTGCAGAAAAAGGAATAATTTGTGTTGGGTATAGCATGCTTTTGTTTTACTATCTTTGGGACAATCAATTTTGCTCAAGGAATATTTACTTCAACTATGATTTCAGTAATCATTCATGATATCTGATACAAACTAGTTCAGCTTCCGACTGGACTATATGTGATACAACCTAGCTATCTACTGTTTCACCTTTTCAGTGAATCATCTTTACAAATATACAAAATTGAATAATGTCCCAAAATGGGTGACAAAATAATACTAAAAATGAGACTGCACAATTGAGTTGCGGGGCGTAGAGACCGAGTCCTTCCCCTCAAAAAAATTCTGCGCATGGTCGAGCCATTTCCAAAAAGAATTGCTTTTCGACATTCGAAAACACCAAATATCAGTGGTAGTGCAAGCAATTGCTAAAAGGTGGTGGTACCAAAATTTAAACTTCGTTAAAAAAGAGTTGAATCCTATTGTCACATGTCAATCATCAATTTCTTGAACCCACGCTAAACCTGTAAATGATGTTCAGAAAAAATTAGGTTAGTTTCTTCATCACAATAGACAAAAAATGAATGAGATCAAAATACAGTGAAATTTCATCTATTGCTATGTGCTGAACACTTCTCAATAATCAATACCATAGAACATTGCTAGCCTAATGACTATATATTGAAATTTTACTTTTAGGCTGGAGCTTTCCATCACAAACAACAACTAAATCAGTCCATTTCATCTTTCGAACTTAGATTCTATGGTTGAGGTCCCTCTGTTACTTTTCACGTTAAAACAAGATACACCTAAATTGTATGACTTGCCATTTAGAATGATCTCTGATTTTTACCAAGCGATTTTAACACATCCTTGTTAAACATCTACTCATTGTACTTGGTCATACTTATCGAAAAGGAATTGATTCCAAAGATTCTCTTCACAAAACTATATCATCTACATGAAGCACACATTGAGATACTAATACATGCATATTATTAGCAAGTAAATCCATAACAATGGATAAAAAGTAAGTGCCCCAGATTGACCCTTGATGCAATCTTCTAGTTATAGGGAAATCCTGTGACTTCACTTCCGTTTGCACAAGTGTTAGCTTTATAATACCATGTTATGTGCATATAAAGGAGGTTAACCCTTTTTAAACTATATAAATGAGTCAGGCAACATGAAAAAACCAGCATACATCATGACTATTCTTCAATCTTGCACCAGTTACCGAAGTCTAAGAAAATCACTTACCAAGTACATTTATAAACAATTATATCTATTTTCTAGATGCAAACATTTGAGTGCGTATTCAGAAATGTGAATGTGTTTTAGAGAGAACCTTGAAGCACAGTTTCCACAGCAGCATTAGGAACAAGAAGCCCAACAATACGTTGGGAGTCCACGGTAGTTTCAATGCGTACAACCCGTAGTCTCCTATGGCTTAGGCGGGCCTGTACAGATTTTGTTTGCAGTTTAGTTTTCTTCAAAGAGAAGTATATTTTAAGCAATCTCTGAAAGTACTATAAATAAAAAAGATATGCTATAATCAGTCACAAGTAACAATAATGATCTAACTATTTGACAAGAAACCTAAGTCCCCCAAGAAAAACTTTAAATGGAAGAAAATAAATTCTTATGAATCCTAAAAGGTTAATGTACACAAGACAGGGTTTGTGTTAAAAATAAATCATATCAACTGATATCATAATGCAACACAATCTGTTAGATATTTTACACTGCAAACCTCACTATTTAAAAAAAAAAAAACTCTAAACACCAGATTAACTAGTAGCCTTTTTCAAAAAAATGTTTTAGTTACAGGCAACTTTTATGATGAAGTACCTGCTTTGAAAGGGCCTTTTCTACGGCACCCCATACAGGAAGGATGAGGCCACCCAATACATTTACTTCCTGTAGTCTTCTACCAACTGTACAAAAGTTGCCGATCTTACAATTGGGACCATGCATGCACTGCCAGTAAAGGTAAGTTGTGTGAGTCAACACAGTAAGCAAACAGTATATATTTTCTCTCCTCTTCCATCTGATGTGTTTGTAGGTACTACCGCGCAGAGCTACACTTAATACTGATCGAGGTCCTACATGATATATTTAACCTATTGAGTGCAACGCCAGTTTGGTAAACAGGACAATTGGCCCAGGTGTTGACAGCGATTAAAAAGGGCAATAGCATATGGGTTGATCTTGAGGAAGTATTTTCATATGAATGTTTAGTTTGTCCCCTTGCCTTTTTCTTTCGACTTTACTTATAAATTCATAAATAAAATATTGTTTATTTTTGTCAAAAATAAAACTGGCACCTGCTTTAACAGTCACAAGCTGACCTTGACTATTATTTGTCAAGCCTCAAGATTATCAAATCAATTTTCTAGCAAATTTACAAATAGGGAAAAATAACTTAATAAAGAAAAATACCTGTTTAGATGAAACTTCATATTCCTCTCCCCAACCAGACTGAGCCTTCTCTAAAGATGAAATTTTTCTATACTTACTTTTTAATTCAGACAGAGGCATCTCCCTATATATTTTGGAGCAAAATGGTTGTTAAAAGCACAATTAAGTGACGAGATCAACGAGGCCTGATTACAGGACAATAAATACCTGTTTGATTCTCCAACAGGGGGACGAACTATTTTATACATGCCCGAAGCAGAACTGGAACAAAATGAAAGGAAATACTGAAAAAATCATATCATTAAGAACAATGATCATAAAACATTAATAGTTGATGTCTTGCTTTATGAATAGATTTTTTCTATTTGCTAATTTCCTCCCCTCTTGTTTTCTTTTTTTTTTAATGAAAAAAAAAAAATCACAACCAGGCTCAAATAAATAGTATACAAGGCAACTTTATCAGAGATTAATTCTTCTCATATTACCATGAACGACATTGATTTTTCTGCAGAGTTTCAGTTTTCAGTAATAGATTCCATAATGAACTCAATGGGTGATTTGACCAGTTTCCTGCATTGAATATCCAATATAGACTTTCCATGTAAAAGTGCTTTCATTTGAATTTGAGAAAGCTAGGCTTCACTTAAACAAAGAGATTGAACCCAGTTTTCCTTGACATGATATTTATATTCACTTAACCAGTTTTCCTTGACATGATATTTATATTCACTTAATGTTAATATTCATTGTAAGAATAGTATTTATGGGTGATGCAAATATTTGGGAAATACCAATTGTAATTTAATATTATTTAGTATATTACATCACATGCTATGCTATGATTTAAACACTTTATTATATTTCATTACCATTTCATCTATTTAATTTGTATTACCATAATTTAGTTTGTTTATTATAATATATTAAATGCTATGATTACTTAAAAAGCAAATAAAAAGAGAAGCTAAAGTGAACACAAAATAGAGAGACAGCATATTAAAAGAAAAAGTGGACAAGAAACACTTGAAAATAATTTGGGCCCATTAGCCAAATTCTCCCAACCCTAAACCTTTAGTTACTATAACCCTAATTCTAAGATCATGCCTTAAGACCTCAATTTAGTCTCCTAGTTAGCAAATATAGAGAGCACTAAATACAACTTTGCAGCTATAACAAATCCCGGCATATTACAGAGGGAGAAGGGACGCAAGGGGCTTTATCGACTCCCTCAACGTAGAAATTTCAACTGCAAATGTGGAGAGCTCTAAATGCAATTTTGCAGCGCAGTGAAAGGCAGAGGCCAGCCAATCAGAGAGGGAGAAGGGCAGAAGAAGCTGCGGCAACAAAATAGTTTGAGGGGAGTGGCACAATAACACTGCAATTCCCACTATTCCAGCAGCAGCCACAAAAGCATCAACGAGAGCACAGCTACACTGTGGTGCATTAGTAACAGTGTTCTCAACCCTGATTTGGATCTTGAGGTATATACAGGGTTCTCCCAAAAAGGTGTTGATTTTTGTGAAAATAAGACATAAAGAACGTTGTGCATATAATGATGCAATCAGGGCAACATATCTTGGCGATATAAGATGAAACTTGGAGGCAAGATCATCATCAAAAATAGAATATTGATTATTGGTTCTACTACACGAATCTTGTACAGTAGAAGCAAGTAAGCAACTAATTCAAGAATTTCAGTTTTGCAGAAGAGACTATTACAAAGCTTGTTTGTAATCATCAAGCAGTGACTTGCCTTCATGCCATAACTTTTATAAATGGACCAAACATATATGAACTACCCATTTTATGAAAGAAAAATTCTCCTGAGATCTAGTTCCAAGGGCAACATATAGGTCACAAGTTTGATGAATGAGATATACATACTAGCTGGAGGAGCAATGTTGATATTACTTGATTTAATGTTGATAACAGGAAATGTGTTCTGAACACGCAGGTTATCCCTAAAACTGAGGGATTTGATTTTTTAAGCTTCAAATATAAATAAACCAATGAGGGTTGAGAGGATCACTTCAAGCAAATTAGAGCATGTTGAAATGTTCCGGTTTCTATTTTAGAAAATTAGGTTTCACTCAAACAAAAAGATTATAATCCAATTCACATGACACTTCTACAGGCATCAAAGGGCGAGTAAAAATTATATTGGATATCAGGTTGGATTAAGGAAACTCCCAAATAAAAAACGGGAAACAATGAAAGAAATAAGCAAAAGGGAAAAAAGAAAAAAATGAGGCCAGGTATCTCAGCTTCTTTGGGTTTTCATGCTTGTGAACATAAACAAGGTCAGAAATTAAATTTTGCAACCTTAACAAATATTGGAACATAAAGATTTGCATTTAATAGGGTATTGGAACATCAAAATTAATAAAACAAAAAATCAATTAAATTTAGAATATTATATTTAGGAAACATGCATAACAAAAACTATGAATTATACCTTTCAAATGCTAAAATGAAATGACGTCTTCCCAACCACTCCCTCTTTGACTCATAAAAGCCATCATTGGCTGAGCCAAGCCCGTCCCTCTGCTTTTCATTCAACATCGTATTTGCTAACTGACATATAAATATTCAATTACAAGTCAGCATCAGCATAAAACATACCATTATTCACGTCATGTAGAAAACTACATGTACCTCCCATGTGATCCCACGATCTAAGATGAATGTAAAAAGGACTGTTGAGGCCCCAGTCAATTGATCAACATGAACGGTCTGCATGAAAGTGAAATACCTTTATACTTAAATCTATATAAATAATTGAGTTATCACAATAGGTCAAGCAGAAACTAACCTTTGGAGTCCCTTGAAATTCAATTACATTAGCTTTCAAGTCAACAATGCCTGTGTCAAGGTTACCTTCAATGCGAGCATTCCGAACAAGAAGATCCAAGATACTCACAAATAACTCGAATAGCCTGTTACAGTATTATTTACTGTATTGTATCTAATACCAAAAATTATAAGCATCAAGCAATTTATTCACAAAAGACAGACCCATTCTGAATATCAGGAGGTAGTCCCAAAATCCTGTTGAGGAACCGCCCAACCTCGTGCATATCCGAATCAATAATGCGACCAGATAACCTTCCAAGATCTTTACCATTACCTACAAATACAGGAAGTATTTAGTTAACTATAGTAAGGTTACCCCAAACACTTAAGAGACATACAAAATTTATTATTATCAAACCACACAAACTAACTTTCTGAAGAGAGTAATGAATAAATTACCAAGAACTGTGTCCCTTACTATTCCAACAGATACAAGGGCAGCTTTTGCTTGCACGATAAAATCATGAATTGTATCTGGCTTGTCAGATGAACATCCCGGAGGTACCACGGGCAGAGAATCCTGAAAACAATGTCAGCAGATGTAATTGGCCATTTTTTTTTCCTTTTGTACATTTCAATATAAATATTTCTTATTTTCAATAAATATTATGAAACCTGCTCCATTATTCCTTTGTACATAATCATCAGAGCCCTCTTTCCATAGGCACTATCATAATTATAAGCACTCAATGAAGGCCCAGCCCTGCAAGCCAAAAATGTCAGGATAAACAGCCAAAAATGTTCATCCATGACAGATCATTTAAAAAAAACTGATGAATTCAACATGCCTGCGGTCACCCTGAGTCAAAGCACCAAGTGATTCTAATCTCTTGGCAACAATTGATGCAAATCTTCGCTCTCCACCAAGATTTGTAAAGAGTATCCTGTACAATATTTATGATATAGAGATTAGGTAAACTGGTGGCATCTGGAGAGAGAATCAACAAAACATATAGCACTGTAATAATTTTAGATCAGGTCTAAAGTGTCTCAGATCCTAACATTCTGAAGGTCATCATGTGGCATGATAATAGTCAACCAATTCAGACCAATAATACAATTTTTTCTACAAGAAAGAAAGCAATTTTATGCCTATGAAATAGTTCTATTATAGGAAACATTTTGCACACAACAATGTAGGCATTGGCTAGGCAATTACACAATAATGGAGATGTCACATCAACAAGAGATATCGTCAAATTGTAATATAAGTAATAAATCTTACATTGACTAAAAATATAACAAGATTAAAATTAATAAGTTGCAATAAGATTTCATTATTGAACCAATATGAAAGCAACCAAAAAATGGAATGCAAAAGGTTTTAATCAATAGTGTTCAATGACCTGTATTCTGGTGCCGAAGCTTGATTTGATCTATGAGTTCTTCCAAACTGTTGAATTGCCCGGTCAGCACTCCATGGAAGTTCCAGGGTTAAATGAACCCTTCGTTTCTGTTGGGAAAAGGTTAGATACCAGAGTGAGGAACACATGACAGCAAATTATGCATAGAATAGATAATTAAATTTCAGTATACTAGAAATTTCCACGCATAATGGTTTCTATCAATTTAGTTTTTCACACCCGGTTTGCAGCTCGTCTATCTGCCTGCAAAGAAACCCCAGCTGATCCTGCTTCAGAGATAATAGCAACTAACTTTTTACCATCCATAAATAGCTGCTTTTCGTGCATGTTAACCATTTCCATAGTGACATCTTTTCTAAAGAGGTATAAAAAGAAATTAGTACTACAAGTGTAATGAAATGCCGTTTATGAATTAAAGGAGGCAAACCACAACTCACGTATTACGAGCCTGATAAGTTACACCCTTGCCCGTAGCAGCCCTCACAAGCATGCCTCTCCTTCCTGTCATTTCGGCAACTTTGTCAGGGCCTCCTAGCTGGTTAAATGACAATTATAGTAGCAAGGAAAGAGTTAGCTGATTCAATTAAGAAAAAAGAAAAAAGAAAAAGGATTAGAAAAGAAGACATCAGTAACTGGAAGAGAAGCTGACTACAGTAGACCAAACAAACTGTATGTTAGTTACAGAATTCCTAACTGAAAGAAAAATAAAATCGGTGAGCAATGCATACTGCAATACTCTAACCAATGCACAAATCTGCCCTCTCCTTTACTCCTCACCCCCTTTACAACAAATTTCCACTCTTCCCAACCACCATAGGTCTCCCACACCATGCCCACTAATTAAAACAAATTTTCCCAAGGATCTTTTTGGTCACATCTCCCACCCTTCCCCTCCTCAAATATACTTTTAACCCCTTAATTTCACTGCTCACCTGGCTGAGCCAATAATATTTCCTTATCCTTTGAATTGCTAGACTCAAGGGTCTTATTATGATTTGAGAATTTAAAACAGGAATATCAAACTATAACAACTAGAACAAAGACCAGAAGTTCCAGAACTCAATGGAAGTTGTTCCACAACGCTAACTTTTCATCCATGCATAATTTAAACTATCAACAGAGCAAAGACTAGATGTTATAGAGCTCAGTATACAAACTAAACATTTAGTTGTTCCACAAAATCAATTGTAATAGAGGAAAACGCTAGCATCTTTATTTTCCTGCTCCCTTCCATCTATATGCTATCATTTTAAAATTAACTTTAAACAGTTCAGTTGTGCACATACTGATAAGTGTTCTTCAAAGAAAGAATGTAAATCGAGCATAAGATCACTACCTGGTCAACAATATCATCCAAGGGATTATTTGGAAGATCCAAAGATCGAATTATCTCTGATATTTTTGTCTTGCGTTCCAAGGCTGCATCATACCTGAAATAATGTAAGAACACATTCATCAATTATATCTTACCTACTTTTTTATGTTAATTATTCTACCTCCTTTTGGTTAACAGAAGATACTGTATCTCACACAAACAGTTTCTTTACTAATCAGTTATTCAACATGAAATGATAAATTTTCACCATGCAAACATATGACCCCAATAATTCAGTACTAATGCTTAAATTCTGTACCTCTTCTGAAGTTCAGCAATGTAGGCCTGTCTTGCCAGAAGATATTCATCTGTTTTTTCCTTACACAAATGGCATGACCACTCTTCGGGAACTACATCACCAATTGGTGGCATCAAGCATGTGGAGTGGACTAATTTACCGCAGCATGAACACTGTAACAATTTTTTCCTTTCCTGCAGAAAAATCAAGTGATTCCTGCATCTCCAGTATTGAAACAATTCATGAGATTTAAAAGCAAAGAAAAACCACCTCCTCAGTAGTGCAAATTTCACATATTTGAAACTCATCATCAGAGTCAGTAGATTCAACACCAGAGTCAGCTGCATAAAACCAGAGGAATCTTTATAAAGTGCAAACATGCCAAGCAAGTTTCAAATGTCTTAAAAAATCATCAAATGCCAAACATTTAACTTTTTAAAAAGGATATCATGAGAATAAAAGATATTATAGTTGAGTATTTAATAGGTTAGTTGTATCTAACTATTGACCTAGTTCCTAGAATATATCTGTTTATCTTCTCTAGGTTTAATCATTTCCTCCCATTTATTGTATCTCAGAATCTCTATCTTTATCTCCTATAAATAAGAGAACACAAAAGAAAAGTTTTAAGCTCTCAAAAACATCTTTTATTTTCCTATTATCTATTTCAAGTTGGTATCAGAACGGGTTCGTCCCGCTCTGCTTGTCTCTCCTTTTTCTCCATTGTCCACCACCGTCCGTCATCGTCCCCCGACGCCGTTTCACTTGCCGTTCTTGGGTAAGGATCGCCTCCAGGAGTGTGACCCAACCTCGGTGGTCGCTTCAGTCATCTCTGTTAGATGTGACGCCTTCGTCCGTTGTTTCCTCCGCGCATGTGGTTCACGCGTCGTCTTCCCAGTGGCCGTTTGCTCCATACCATAGCCATTTGGCTCGCCTCGTCGTCCTAAAGCCGAATCTCTATTAGACTACCGCCACACATTGCCTTCTTTTGCTGCTTCCTTCGTGCGTGTGTTTCATGTGTCGCCTTCCCCGTGGCCGTTTTGCTCCAGACCACCACCATCTGGCTCGCTTCATCATCCTGAAGCTGGATCTACCCTTTGTTTTATGTTTCACAGAACGCTGGTTGTTTTGTGTTCAAGCAAAGCAACACTGTTTCTTGGTACTCTCTCATTACTCTCGGTCTTCTCTCTCCAAAAGTCCTGTTGGATATTTTTACTTAAGAGTCCTCTCTTGGTTCCTGAATAAATATGTCAGGACCTGCAACATTTGTATCTCTTTCTAGGACTCCTACTATAACAACAAAAAAATTAAATGGAAAAAATTACTTGTCTTGGGCCTCCTCTGTTGAACTCTGGTTTCTAGGACAAGGGGTTCATGATTATCTAGAAGACGACAGAAGTACAAAACCAACAGATCAGACTTCTCAATGGAAGAAACTTCATTATCAACTTAGTGCTCTATTATGACAATCAGTTGAACCAAATATTTTGAGCACTCTTCGTTCCTTCAAGACGTGTAATTCCATCTGAAAAAAGGCCCAAAATATCTTTGCTAATGATATTCAACGGCTCTATGATTCTGCTAATAACCTAGCCTCCCTTAAGCAATAGGATAACAATATGATGTCCTTGTTGCTAAAGCTCAATCAGCAGTTGAAGAATTAAAAATGTTCCTTGAGACAGATTCATTAGAGCAGAAAAAGATGAAGCTAGATAAATTCTATATGATTATGATTTTTAGGGATATGAATCTAGAATTTAATCATGTTAGAGATCAAATTTTAACTGGACATGAAGTTTCTTCTATGGAGAGTTTGATCACAAGGCTACTTCGCGTTCCATCTATCAAAGGTAAAATTAGTCAAAAACTTGTTGAATCTTCCGCCATGATTTCTGCTCGAGGAAGGTAATCACAGCAATAGAGGACGTGGTGGTAGAGGACGTCCTTAGTGCACTCATTGTAAAAGAATGGGTCATACTAAGGAAAATTGCTTTGCTCTGCATGACTATCCTGATAAGATAGCCAATACTTCAAAATCTAAAGTTGTTGAGCCCAAGTTCTCTCATGAAGAGTATCAAGAATATTTAAGGATTAAATCAACTAGTCTAGCTCAAGCATCTATAACTCCAAATTTGTCAACCGGTTGCATTTCGGAATTTGTGGAAAGTCAAAATCCGTGGATTATTGACTCAGGTGCTTCTAACCACATGTCTAGTAATACCTCTTTATTCTCCTCTATCATTTCCTAAAACCTCCCTACTCATATCTTTAGTCAATGGATCTAAAGTAACCTCTAAAGGGATTGGTCAAGTATCCATTTCTCCTACTTTAAACTTACAAAATATTCTTTGTGTTCCTTCTTTTTCCTTCAGTCTTGTTTCCGTATGCTAATTAACCAAATCATTAAATTGCTTAGTAGCCTTTAATGCCAATTATTTTGTTATACAGGAACGTGGTACGGGTCGACTGATTGGAGAAGGACATGAATATGGAGGCTTATACTACCTTGGGACTAATTCATCTATATCTAGTGTTGCATCCTTATCCCAAAAACTGTTACATGAGCGATTAGGGCATCCTCATTTGGCAAAACTAAAAAAATGGTTCCTGAACTTTAGAACCTTCAAACTTTTGAATGTGAATCATGTCAACTAGGAAAACATTCCAGGTCATCTTTTTCAAATCATTTTGAATCTAGATGTGATTTTGCTTTTAATATTGTTCATTCAGATATATGAGGACCTAGTCGTATTTCATCTTTTGGCTTTAGATCTTTTGTTACTTTTATTGATGGGTTTTCTAGATGTATTTGAGTTTATCTAATGAAAAATCGCTCAAAACTATTACCTATCTTTAAGTTTTTCTTTAATGAAATCTAAACTCAATTTGGAAAAGTAATCAAAGTTTTACGAAGTGATAATGCCAACGAATACTTTTCTAATGATTTCTCTGACGTCCTAAGTTCTCAAGGCATTTTACATCAGTCCACTTGTCTTTACACAACACAGCAAAATGATATTGTAGAACGGAAAAATAGGCATTTCGTTGAAACTGCTCATACCTTATTGCTTGGTGCCAATATGCCTATTCATCATTAGGGAGATGTTATTATAATTGCATGTTTTCTCATTAATAAAATGTCATTTTCTTCTCTTGACAATAAAGTTCCACACTCTATTATATTTCCAAAGGAACCACTCTTTCATGTTTCTCCTCAGGTATTTGGATGTATTTGTTTTGTTCATGATATGTCTCCAGGCTTAGATAAACTCTCAATTAGAGCTATCAAATGTGTCTTCTTGGAATCTTCTCGTCTTCAAAAAGGATATCGGTGTTATTCTCCTGAAACCAAGAGGTACTACATGTCTGCTAATGTCACTTTTTTTTAATCATCTCCCTTCTTCTATGCAAGATATTGATTATGTCCAACATGTTCTTCATATCCCCTTAGTAGAGTCATTTGTCCCTCCTATTTCTAACACCCCAAATCCCAACCAAAATACTCCAAAATCATCATCACAGCCTCTCATCACCTATCAATGCAGGAACCAGGTGAACAATCTCATCCCCAAGATGAGCCGCCCATAACAGGTCCTTCTCAATCATCTTCTAATACCACGGCTCCTGATAATGATGACTCCAGTTGGCTCATTATCATTCGCAAAGGTACTCATTCTACTCATAATGCTCATCCCCTTTAAAATTTTCTTAGCTATCATAGGTTGTCTTCTTCCTATTTTTCTTTTATTTCTTCTGTATCCTCTATTACGATCCCCAAAAATGTGGCAGAAGCACTTGATTATCCTGGATGGCAACAAGCCATGATTCCTGAAATGAAGGCTCTTGATCACAACAAAACATGAGAGTTGGTTCCTCTCCCTTCGGGGAAGAAAACAATTGGTTGTCGTTGGATCTATGCTATTAAAGTTGGGCCTAATGGTCAAGTTGATCGTCTCAAAGCCAAGTTAGTGGCTAAAAGGTACACTCAGATATATGGACTTGATTATTGTGATACTTGTTCTCCTGTAGTCAAAATGACCATTGTTCGCCTGATCCTTGCCATGGTCGCCATTCGTCATTGGTCTCTTAATCAATTGGATATTAAAAATGTTTTTTTGCACGGTAACTTAGAAGAAGTTTACATGGAGCAACCTCCTAGATTTGTTGTTCAGGGGAGTCTGGTTTGGTTTGTAAATTAGGACGATCTCTCTATGGCCTAAATGGAATTCATTTGTTCCAAGCTTGGTACATACAATTTGTATGCTCCAGCTTGAGGGGGAGTGTTGAGTATTTATTAAATTAGTTGTATCTAACTATTGACCTAGTTCCTAGAATGTATCTATTTATCTTCTCTAGGTTTAATCATTTCCCCCTATTTATTGTATCTATTGTATCTCAGAATCTATATCTTTATCTCCTATAAATAAGAGAACAGTTTCAAGTTCTCAAAAACATCTTTTATTTTCCTATTATCTATTTCAAGTATTATATTAGTCCCAATGGAAGTGATTGAAATGAATGAAAACTTAAGTAAACAAAATAATCACTTTCAATGGCACTGATTCAAGATGGAATAAGATAAAAAACAAAACATGGTTACATGATACAATGATCAGTGCACTAGGCAGAAACAACTCCTTTCATCATATCATGCACATTTAAACCCTCAATCAAGCACTGTCTGCTAACAATTTGTCTCAGAAGTAATGTTTAATGCTATAGAAACAATGTTTAAGGAAGTCCCAGTTTCAAGGAGTAATTGGAAAATAGGGACTGCTCTATATTTCAAAATGTTCTTGCAATTTTCAATTTTCTCAGAACATATCCAATAAGTCTATTATGCGTTGCTTGAGCAAATTTCAAATTCTAAGAGCCTTATGGTTTATGAATGTGTTTTCTGTTTTCAATAATAATGATAATAATTTAAAAGTTCTGAGACTTTATTTCAGTTACAAAAGCACAACAGAACAAGGACAAGTGCATACAATTCATGAAAATTTGTTTCAAAGTGACTCACTTTCAGATTCTTCATCACTTTCAGCATCACTAGGAGGTTGCCACTTGGCTACTTTTCTGACCCTGCCTTTTACTGAAACACCAGGAGTTGCAGAGTGCCTCTTCCTTTGAAGTTCTTTCACCCCATCTTCTCCTATTACAGAAGAGTGACTAAATGCACAGTAACAAAAATAAATGAGAATCATTTAACAAAACAAGTCTCAAACCTGGGAGAAGTTCAGGTTTTTCTGGTAACGGGTAATTTTCTTCCACAAATTTAAGCAGCAATTCACGAGGTCCAGAAACAAAATCATCAAGTTCAGAACCCTATACAAAAAAAATAAAGCATGTGAGAAAACTGAACTGCTATGATCAGAGAATTCAAATACACACATATTTTGTCACAGCTTCCTCTGTCCTTGCTTCTCCAGTACTCTGAAGACCTATGACTACACATTTTTCTTCAGCTAATGCTTGCTTTGCTAGTCTCAGAGCAGCAGGAACTTTAGCAGACATACATAGGTGTCTGAAAAAACGCTGCAGCATTACAATAAGTATGAAAAAACAAAAGAGTCAATAAATATTAGTTCACATACACAAGAATCCAAATACAAATTGATTCTACCACATACACTTCAATACCTGGTGGCTTGCCCAGTATAATCGCCATAGTTGACTAGAATTAGGTTTGTCATTTAGGAAGGCACTGGCTGACAGCAATTCTACTCTTAACTCAGCCCAAAATTCAGCTGCCTTTTTATATATTTCCTAAGAAATTTATCATGAACAATAAGATTATGAGATAAAAATATATAATCCAAGGAAAAATTAATGCATCAACAAGTGATATAAATAACTATGCATGTTATCTGCAGTCAGGAGACATCTCTAGTTCCCTACAACTGATCCCTTCCTCTTATCAAACTTAAAAACAAAAGCAAAAGAAATTGCAATACACCAAAAAGAAAAAGAAAGTGCATTCCTGATTTGACATACTTAAATACGTATCATGTTGAAAATATACATGCATACCCAGCCGGGCATGGGGCATGATGTTGGTATTATTGATACAAATTAATATGTTTGGCTTTGACAAGCAGAAACCAAAGGAAACACAGACCAATTGTCAGAAAAAAAGAAGGCTAATTATTTTATACGTTGTCACATAGCTAACAAACTGACTACTAAAACAGACTGATGGGATTCCCATTCTGTTATTTAATGCTCTACTGATTATTATTTTCAGATGCCATTCAGTATTTTACCAGATAATTTCCATTGTTTCTTCAGTAAAGACATTACAGCTTCAGTAAATAATAGCAAATAAATTTCTTTACCATCATTTTATCTTCTAATGGTGCTTCGATAACTTCAAACTCTGCACCTTCATAGCTAAGTGTCCGACATAAATACATACCCCTACAATGAGATAGATGAAGCAAAACAATATATCGTTCATAAGCATATATGTTCAGTAAGTTATATGTAGGTGCGTAAATGAAAATATTATAACCTTGCTTTCATGTCCATGGCAACTAATTCAAGAGCTCCAACACCCCCTCTGTCAAGAGCACCTGGATGTATAACTTTGAATTATTAACTTCACAGACTTAGGAAATGGGGCCAGCATGGGCAAGGAACACAAGCAGAAAGCAAAGACAGAGATTCTTTAAACATTCTACATTATGTAGTTACAGGAAGAAGAAATTAAAAAACCATATAATATTAGTTATCTATCATAAAATATTATTCATAAATTCTTGTAAAGTAACAACATAGGTAACAAAATGGCCATCAAACAAAGAAGAATGTAAATGAAAATAAATACATCATCAACTAGAAAGGTACAATATAACTCCAAAATGTGCAGCAGTAAGTATTTGAAAGAAAAAAAAATGTCCATCAATGGATTTATCAAAAAAGTTATTTATGAATGAAAAAAATAGAACAGCACGTTCAGAAGAAAAAAAGAAGATGAAGATCACTAGTTAAATTTATTTTTTTTAAAATGAAAAAAAAAAAAAAAAAGATAAGAAACTACCTAGAAATTCACGGAAATCAGCAAATGAAGTCCCATCTCCCCAAAGACCAAGTCGAACCATATAACCCATATTGCGAGGCTCAGATGCTCCAGTTGCTGAGCAATAAAGAACACGAGCTTCAGGCAGCCGGTCCTGTAAAAATAGACTGCAAGTACTCAGAAACCACATCTTGTGCTCACTAATTCAATGCTAAAGATTGCAAAGTAATAATTTCACTTTAACATACATTAATGCAGAAAAAGTAGGAGAGATCTACATGAGAAGGGGGAGAGGGCATAAAATAGTAGATAAATGTACAAAGGCCATTCTTATTTCAAAACATTTAAAAAAAAAACCATTTAGTAATAAGAGCAATTTATTTCCAATTAGTTCATGAATGGGAATGAATTGTTGAGTTAGTACGATAGTTTAACTTCTGTTAGGAGAACAACATAGCATCCAAATTTTCAATTTTGACAACTATAAAAAGACTGTTTGTGTTACCTTACACATCGACTACCAATATGCTTTTGAAATTGTAAAATAAATTATTCACTGATTGTCTATTTACAATTGTATTAAAGAGTCAACACTCAACTGTGAAAGAGCATTATCAAGTTATCTGAGAATGTATGTTGTTTCAAGACTAGTGGTAATGAATCCCTTTATGAATCTACCCAAGGAACCTCTCTTTAAATGCAATGGGCAAACACCAGACATACAACTTTAGCATACAAAGACACAACAAAAACTTATGATAACTCATGCTATTTAACTACACAAAAATAAGCAGACTACCACAATCACTTGCACACTCCTTTCCTATACAAAAAAAAACTACAAACGTGAATGCACAAAAAATGCATCAAAAATAACAAAGGATAAGAAATAGTAAAGAACCAAAAATATATTTAGAAAACAATAAAAAAGTATATCTTCCTGATGATGACCCACCTCAACACAAATTCTCATAAGAGTACAAAGCATACAATATAGAAACTTTTAGTCACAACTTCAAAAGATTGGAATGAAGAACAAACCTGGATATCAACCACTGCTTCTCCAGTTCGTGTTGGCTGACTACCTGCTTCAGGGACCAAATTTTTTGCTTTATGACACTACAAGGAACCATTTAAACCTTAGTAACAAAATGGTGGAGGATAAAATTGAATCCAATAAGCACTTGAAACAACAACTAACAACAATCAAATTAAACTAACACTGGAAATACTGATTGACATCAGAAAATATTTCCATACTTCATCAAAAATTATAAGACCGTCAAACCCAGGTCCACACCACTGTACAAGCTGCTGGAGCCGAGTACGACCTTTCTCAGAAGACGCTATGAGGCTATTGTATGTTGAGAAAACAACTCCCTCCCTGATCCCAACAGACTTTGAATCAAGCTTAGAATAAGGCAGTTTGTTCAAAGCATGCACTGGATAGAGGGAAAAGAAAAGGAAGATATTTAAATTTGTAATAACTGTAACATAGATAAAATAATAACCATAAGTTTTTAAACTAAAGACTTCAACACAGTTAAACAAACACCTGATATGAACTGCAAAAGAAAATTTCTCCCACGAAAATAACAAAACAGCAGATAACTTTCATTCTTTGGATAAAAAATAGAGAGCATAATTAGAAGTAAGAATGTGCACAAGTAGAGCTTGATAACAAATGTGACTCCCGAAACAAAGGAGGATAAGCAAAATTCTATTTATGTAACAAGGTCCAACATAAAATAATAATTATATATGCTAACAGTGTTGATCTTATTGAGGATCACTGGCCATGAACCACCTACCTACACATATCCAAAATTCATAATAAGAATTAATTTTCCAATAGTTATGAATTCAACATAACAGGCAAACAGGTTAACTAATACACCACAGAAGCAATAAATACAACCCTATCTATATAAAAATTTCCAGGAAATACCTTCAATGCATGTTGCACCCACGTCATCCAAGTCTCTTCTAGCATCAAATTTCAAGTCTGAACCAACAGAAATCCACCTGTATGAGATCATTGGAAATGTGACAAAAGTATCAAAACAACTAAACTCCCAGAGTATCTCAGTTTCAAAAACACACAAGCATAATTGCATGTGGATATCATGACCCAAACTTACAATGCTTTCCTCCTTCCATGATGCCAGTTCTCCCAAATTAGCCCTGCAATTGTTCGACCTTTACCAACACCAGCTCCATCTCCAATAAAGAATCCTGCCCTAGCTCCATTTGGTAGATGTTGAAGATGTCTCTGATATAAAAACTAACATCATACACAGGAAAGGCAAAGCAAAGCATAACCATATATTGTCAATTATATCATAGAAGAAACCTGACAAGCATAGACCAATGTCTCAATTTGCAAGCAAGACAAAGTCTTTGAACTCTCCAAATCATCTTTAATTTTTGGATCATAAGTTGGCTCAGGCGGCTGCACTGCAGACAAGGAAGATGTTTCCACAACAGGATCTGGGTGTGGAGATCCAATAGATACTTTTGGCGGCCGCTGCACAAGGAGGCATCTTAATATGACTAAAATTTCATTGCATAACATGAAATAACAACTGAAATGATAATTCTGCCTAAACAAAGCTCTATCTAACAATGATTGCAAAAGGAGCAATTAGTAACTCACATAATCTGTAAATGTTTCTCCAACCATGCCACCTTCATCTTCGTCCCTCTCAACTTCAACAGCAACCTAATTTAATAGAATAAAAATAAAAATATAGATATAAGGACAATAAAATTTACAAATAACATGTTTTGAAACAATGAACCTTCACAAAAACTAACAAAGACAAGAAATATATTAATAAAAGGAAGGAAATGTCACTGGACTACTGGAGAAACAGAAACCCTCTAACTCTTAAGTACACATTAAAAAGAGGTAAGAAAAATAAACAGAAGAAGCATTGACTCAAAACAGCAATCCAGCCCCTTGGTAAGCATAACCTATATAACCAAAAGCAGAATAATTTTAGCAAAAAATTTCATCCCAAATTTCATGGGACAGGCTTGTCTTCCCAATCCTAGTCTCATATTCATCATTGGTAAAGCCCAGCAGCTTGTAAGGCAAAATTGCAGGCCCAAGGTTTGGAGTGTCTACACTAGGAGGAACAAGAAATAACATATAGGAATCTGTTATCTATTAAGGAAGTTGAAATTTATTACTGTTTTAAAGATCGGAATATATTATCCGTTAGGCAAGCTGATATATTTTACTGTTTTTGGTTTTTAGGATAGAATTATCTAGGAAGTTTCCTAAGAAATTGATAGCAGGTAGGATCATATGGAAAGTTATAAGGGGATTTTATAAAAGGGATTGGAGAGTCTGTTAGGGATCATGCTTGGTTATTCTCTACCTTGTGTTTGGATGAGATAGAGGGTAATATTTTATTTTAGTTGAGAATTTAAAATGCTTCCTAACAAAATTGACTGTTTAGATAGAGAATTTTGAAAGAATTTGAAATTCTAAGAATTAATGAAAGTAAATTGATTACATAAAAATAGAGAATTTCAAATTCCACCTAAAACATAAAAATTTAAAATTCTCCTTACTTTTTTCTTTCTCATATTTATGTCTATTTTCTTTATATTTTCTCTTTGATTCAATCTCAATCGGGATATCTACAGCCTGTTTTGACTTGGGTCGACCAATCCCAACCTAACTCAACATGGTTTGTCCCAACTCACGTTGATATAACCCTTTCTAACTTGATATGTCTTGTCTTGGCCTTGCCCAATCTTTCTCATCTTGGTCCGTCCTATTTGGTTCCAATCCAACCTTTTTGGTCCAACTTGTCTTGACCCATCTTTACCTGACCCAACTCGTCCCAAGACCTATCTTATCTTGACATAACCCAATTGAGTCCAATCTGATCTAGCCTAACTAGGCCATCTTGACCCAACATCTCTAACCCAACCTAGCCCAACCTTTTTGACTTGGTACAATTTTTCTCGACCAAGCCCAACCTTACCAACACAGTCTATCTTGATCTAACCTCACCTATACAACTCATCATGATAAGGGTAAAGTATTGTGAGCTAGGCTTAATTGATAGATCTAGTAATGATAAATTTTTTATTTGATAATAATTGAAATATTCTATCCAAATCAAAATTCAATAAAATTTGAATTGCCTTGTCCAAACAAATCATTTGAAAAATTAAACGAAAGCAATTCAAAATTCAATGTATTTGAATTTCTTGAAAATTCCAAAATATTCTATCCAAATACAAGGTTAAGAAATCATGAGGAGCTTATGCTATGGGAAGGGAGGTAGCATATCTCTACCTTCAGATCTCAATGCATTCTCAACATTACACAAGACACCTAGAGTCGGAAATTTGGGAAAGCAAAAATAAGAGCATAGAGTGAAAATTATTTTCGATGAAGGTTTTAGCTCAGTGTAAAAAGTTAGAACATTTTGTTTTCCAGCCCATATTTCTGTTTCACCACACAAGAATAAAATTATTTCACTCCAAATTTTGCACATACCCACTGTCCACCTACTCAACAAAGGTCTGGATGGAGTGATTTCCATGAAAGGGAAGGACGATGATAAACACCCCAGCAGATGGTTCAATTCTTGTTTTTAAATCGATTCAGTTAAAAAAGGTTTTTAAAAAAAAAAAAGGATGGTTGAATGCTCACATGATAATCAGTCATTCTATTCCAAGTTTACAACACATGAAACATCTATAATATCAATTTAGTTCCTCCCCCACAAAGGTACTAACACTAAACACCTTCACCCTAAAATAAGAAGATTCTGCACATGAGATGGACCAAAGAATCAATAAATCAAACAACATAGAGTACCTTAACAAGTAAACTCATTGCCAACAGCAGTAATTCTCACTTCTCAATAACAACCATTTGTTTTTCTACCCCAAAATAAAACAACGGATCATCAATACTTTATCAACCATCAAGCATATTCTACTTCCAGTTTTCTAAAGCTTGTTCACAATTGTGAACAACGTTACCTCATCAACAGACAATAAAGCATATTCCACTTTCTTTTCATAATGTCAGCTCATCTTCAACCTTGTAGCTAAATTATCATATCAACTACCATCACACATCACCTTAACAGCCATCCAGCATATTTATATTCTACTTCATTGTTTTTTCATCCTCATCAGCAACATTATAATATCAGTTGCAATAACAAACCTATTTTATACTGTACGTCCCTGATATCAACCAAGACAAACTGAAGTACACATAGAAATCACAAACCAAAAATTACACTACAAAGTAACCTTATAAACAATACAATATCAACTGCGGTCACAATCACACTTCATATATTGTATGTCCCCAATTTCAGTCAAGGCAAACTGAAGTACACATAGAAATCCAAATGTGTAACCTAAAAGCACGCTACAAACTAACATTATGGCACCAACCACCATTACAATCACTCACACTTTATATCGCATGTCCCCAATATCAATCAAGGCAAACTGAAGAAGACATAAAAATTCATGCAAACCAAAATCACACTAGACACTACATTATAATATTAACCACCATCAGTATCACACTTTATATTGCATGTCTTCTGGGGTGTTTGTTTATCTCAACGGACACCACCTTTTACGAGCAAGGAACATTTGCTTTTAAGTTTAGTCTATAGGAATGTGTGTTGACAGACTACAGCTTTCCAAACATGCTCTTACACATCAATCAAGACCAACAAGAGGACTTATCAACCATTAAGAGTATTCATATTCTACTTCTTGTTTCTTCATCCTCATCAGGAAAATTACAGTATCAACCACCATCACAATGACATTCTATATAGTATCACACTTTAAATAGTATGTCCCCAACATTAACCAGGACGAAATAAAGTACACACAGAAACCCTATCGTAACCTAGAATCACACTACACAGTAAACCAGTAGCAACATTCGCATTCGCCGCTTCACAACTACCGAAACCATCGAAAAGCAGAACAGAAGCAAAGGAATGGAGGCAAACCTCGTTAACTTCTTCTGGCGGAGGCGCGGCGGCGGGGAAGAACTGCTTGACCTTGGAAACATCGACGGCTAGGTCAACGTTGCACTGAGGACAAGCAAAGCGCGCGAGGCCGTGAGGGACGTTGAGGATGGCCTTGCAAGAAGCGCAGGGAAGCTGGATCTTAGTGGGATCAATGCCGTGTGCAGGCGCGTGCGGAGGCTGCGACGCCGGAGTGGACGTCGGAGGCACCGGAGTGAGCGCATTTGCGGCGGCGGCGGCTCGGTCCTTGGGCATGAGCTCCGGCGGAAGCATCTGCGGCATTCGGCAGGTAGGGCAGGCGAACTCGGTGAGGCCGGGCGCCACTGTGAGGATCATTCGGCAGCCGGCACAGCGCACTCGAACGCTCTCGGTTGGATGAGGAGGAGGCGGCGGAGTTGTCGGTTGCGGTTGCGGTTGTGGTGGCGCCAGCGGCGGAGCAGGAGGCGGAGGCGGAGGCGCGGATTGCTGGGTCATTTGGGAGGAGAGAGCGCGAAAGGGTTTTTCCTTTGGGGAAATTGCGTTTGGCGGGGAAGGTTTTTCTTTTCTCTATTTTCTTCCTCCGTTCTCTCTCTCTCTCTCTTTCTCTGCCTTTGATTTTGAGATGTTGTTGGTGTTGGCGTTGGCGTGTGAGGGAAGCCCAAAAGGATTTCTTATTGTCGAAGTTCCAAAATGGATATCAGGGAGTGTGGTTTCTAGGGAAGTTGGGCTCACTTCTTTCGAGCTTGCAATGAGCACGAACTTCGTAGTTTCGTTTCTCTTTAATTATTTTCCATTTTCTTACCTTTTTTTTTTTAATTAAAGTATAGCCCATTAGAAGTTTAATCAAGTGAGAATTAATTTATATTTTATTAAATAATTAATAAATATTAAAATATTTTATTAAAAGATAACCTATCTTTTAATTTCTAAATTTTTTTTCTTATCTTTAATGAAATATATTTGATCATAATACGACAATGATCCTTTTGAATAATTAATATATTATTAATAATCATAAGATTTGTAAATGTAGATAATTTATATAATTTTTGTTATTTATTTAACTTTTTTAAGAATAAAATATGATAGATAAAAATTTTAAAATAAATAATATTTATATTAACGATAAGATTCGTAAGTGTACGTAGATCAAGGATAATTTATATAAATTTTATTATTTATTTTACTTTTTTAAGAATAAAATATGATAGATAAAAATTCTAAAATAAATAATACTTGAAACTTAAGAATTAATATATTATCATAATAAAAAAATAAAGTAAAAAAAGTAAGATAAATTTAAGAAATTATTAATATATTTATATATTAAAAATTTATTAATTAAATTTTTATATGAATACCATATTTTTTAAATTAATTATATATTTTTTCCAATTTATATATTTTGATATATGTTTATGAAAATATATTTTATCATATGATTTTTTTAAAATATGTGAGTATAAATTAATAAAATAATATTTATTATAAAAATATATATTAGACTATTTATTTAATTTTTTAATAATAACTTTCAAATTTATGATACTTTATCAAAATAATATAATTAAAGACCATGAATCATAACTTGAGTAAAATTATGAATTTATTCTTTTTTTATAATTTATTTTTTTAGTAATTTAATGGTTTAAAATAATAATTTATCTTAAATTATAAGAAAATAAATAATAAAGATAAAAAATACATTTTTAATCCTTAGTTTTAAAATAAATGAATTATATATATATATATATGAATTAAAATTACATATGTAAAAATAAATAATCATTTATTAAATATTTGTAATAATCTATCTTATTATCTTATGATAATCACTTTGTACTCTTTTCTTTTATGTGCAAAGAAACGTATCATAAAGAAAAATAATATTTCATCTAAATTATGAAAAAAAAAATAATGAACAATATTATGAAACTATGTTTCTTCCTCTTCTTCACCAAAAGTGAGGACTCTACTTGCTCCACAATCTGCCATTGAGTTCAATTATACATAGAACCGGTATATCACCATACATGAAATGGAAACATCTCTCCAGTGGGGAGGAAAAGTAAATGTACATAACTCATTAATCAAGTTTGAGAGAAAATCTGATTGCTTTCACATGTTAATTATTCTCCCTCATTGAAATCATTCTGCTCCCTTTGCTTTCTCATATCTAATAATGTTCTGTATGCAAATCTATGATGGAGGATAACATAAAGGTTTCTATCATCACAAGATTGAGGAAATAGTTATTAACATTTATCATTATTATTGTTATGGTGCATCCTATCTTGCACAGCTCTTACAGCTGCAACTCTGGATGCTTTTTTAGCTGCTGCCACACAAAATGGGAATGTAGAGACACATTTAAAGATATTTTTTGTATTTGAGTAAACCAAATTATTCTATTGTAATGCATTCAATATATGTACAGAACTAAAGATCCCACAGCCTTGTATTTCCTTCAAATGGGATTGTTCCTTTATCCATGTTAAAAAATGAGAAGTGCTGAAGAAGAATAGGGAAATTATACAGTTCTGATTCCAATTATTAATGATTCAAGGTTGAAGTAGTTAGACAGAGTCAGAGATAAATTCTCATATATTGATAAAGTACTGAGAAATACTTCAAGGGAATTTACACTACAACAGCGCATTGGAGTTGGATTCCATATCACTTCTCAAGTATCTTGTAGCAGGATATGAATATTGCAGGTAAATTTGGTTAAGACAAAATATACTTCATAATTTGATATTAGCAGGGACAGGAAGCAAACTCATAATCTCCAGGAAGATCATCAATAAGCAGGTAACCGTGCACAAGAAATGTGGCACAAAAAACATTGATCTATAGAGACATACTCACAAACAGGCTGTGCTCTGATCCTAATGAGTTGAAAAAAATAAACAGAAGATTCGATTAAATTGTTGACTAGTGGTTAATAAGAAACTAGACCAACCCATTTGGGTTCTGAGAGTAAATGTTAGAAACGACTGATTGAACTACATTCCAAAGCAATGAAGGCAGATATTCTTTTATGTGAGCCAGTGCAACAAAATTTTGGTAGTTTTAGTTCCAAACTATGAAGAATAGTAAATCCAAATCAATATTCCCGTAAATCTGTAAAGTAAGATAGGAAATGTAAAAAGTCATAAATCAAACTTCTGTGTCTAACACAGGTTGTGGACAATTTGAATGGCCATATTTGCAACCAAAACATCACATAAAAAGGGATCTAGAATCACAATGACTGGCAAATGGAGATGGGAGAAAGTGCAGTTTGTGTTTGTTTTGGGGTCCAATACGAATGCTAATGCTAATAATAATGCCAAAGCCAATGTAATGGCGTGTGTTAATGGACTACTCTTTTTCTATAAGGAAAATTTGAACACACAGTGAACCTATGTCTCACAAAAAGAGGGAAGAAAATGGTGAAAAAGAAAGGAGTTAACCCTAACAAAATTTTAAAAAACATGGGTACTAAACACTTACTAGTCACCCACCCACTCACTCAGATATTGCGCACATTCATGACCCCCAACATATTTAAAAATTTCACACATTATAAGTCACAGAACGTATCGCGAGGTCTTGAGTTTCTAGAAGCAAGAACGAAATGAAAGTTAAGCAAGTTTGCAAAAGAAAAGGCACGGTATCATTCAAATATATAAATAAGATTCTTTTTTTTTTGTTCATCTTACATTATTTATAATTGTTTGTGATAATTCTTATGTAACCTTCAAATAAACTCAAATCCTAAACTCCTACCTACAATTTGCACCTCCGCAAAATCATTTCTGCTGTCTATGTGTAATTTTCTCTGCTGGCGTTCTCTGCTATTTTCATGAACAGTGTCACTTCCATTCCACTATTTTCTTTTATATTTTGTAACATCATTTTCAAAATAAAATTGAAAATTGTTCATATATATTTTTATTTATTATTCCTTGAAATAAAAAAAATTAAAATTAAAACTATGACCTACACACAGTTTTCCACCATTATTAATATTTTTATAGTCCCCCACCAACTCTTTCCCCTTACACTTTTTTTTTTTTCTACTTAACTTTTAATTATTTGTTATTGCTACATGTGTCTTCGATTATTTTGAATCCCTAGTTGAAGCTGAGATGGGAAACTCGCATGCTAAAAAGCGTGACACTCCCTCACCGGTGGTAACCAGAAACTTGTCACCATCACCACGACCGTCCTCGCCACCTGAATCATCTAGAAGACCACCGCGAGAACCACCACCTGTGTCCTTTAAGAAGCAACACCATGGTTCGGGGAAACTATCTGTGAAAGAGAAATACGCTCTGATTCCCGATAACTTCACTTCGCTTAAACAGGTTCATTGCGCTGACTGACTCATTAATAGATTTAAATTATTTAGTTTTTCTTTGCTGTGTGTTCAAAATCTTGTTGATTATGTGCAAAACATAGATCGTTTTGATGCTTCTCTTCAGGTTTGTTCGTTCTCTTTCAGATTTATGTTTTTGAGGATAAATATTTTTCAATGGATTTTTGAACTCAAACTTTGGGCGTTGACATGGAGATGAAAAGTCTGTGATTCTAGTTGGAGTAACTCATTTTCTTAGCATAAAAAAATATATAATTTTAAAAAACTCTTTTCTTTTCTTCGGTTACTTTATTTTTTTTATTTTTTTATAAATAACTCAAAAAAATTGTTATATTTTTTTCTTTGTTTCCTTTATTTTTTTAATATAAATAATTTAATAAAATAACATTTATCAAACAACTTTCAAATATTCTAATAAATACTTTATTATTTATTATTATTTTAATTATCTTCCTTTTATGTTTTAAATTATAAATTTAATTATTTATTACTATTTCAGTTTTTTTAAAAATATTAAGTTATTTATACGATTTTTTGAATTTTAAATTTAAGTGAATAATAAATTATTATCTTAGTTTTATTATTTCTAGAGACTAAAGTCATACCATAAATTTAATATATATATATATATATATATATATATATATATATATATATATATATATATATATATAACCAAATATCTAAATCAAATATATTGTGATTGGTTCAAATTTTTATAACTTTTTTTAAATATACCTCTGTAGCATATTATATTTTTTAAATTTTAGTAAAATTTAAACTAGTTTATAATATGAAAATTTAAACTAGTTTATAATATGAAAATTTAAATAGATTTTAGTTATTATACATATGAATTTATTTTATTTTATTTATGTTTTTATTAATTGTGATGATAACTTTATACGAAAAGTAATTATATAGCCCGATTTGTTACTTCATAGCGCTACATCACTGTTTAATGATGATGACATTTTCAAAATCTAAACCCTATAACCATTAAAAGAATAAAAATATTTTATTGGATATATTAATTTTTTTTCTTAAAACTGAAAATGAAGTGAAGTTATATAATTTTAGTTATGTTTTTATCAACTTTAACTTTATCGAATCACTAACATTTTAACTATAGAGTAAAGATCGTTAATTAAAATAAAGTAGCTATTGTTTTATTTTCCAAAACCTAAAGATTAGTACTAATAATATTTTTTAACACTTTGATTATTAATCAATTTTTTTTAAATTATAATGTTTTGAATGAGGTTGATTAAATAAAAGGTAGAACTCAAATAGTTAATTAATCTTAACAAAATTTAAATTATAAGAGTGGGTTATAAAAAACGCGATCCTATTTATCTTTTTTTTTTAAAAGATAAGTTTAATTATATTTATTTCATGTATACACTAAATAGAAATTAGGAAAAAGAATATCCAAAAGGAAAAAGTTAGACAAAAGCAAAATTAAGGTTGAATGGCATCTTTTGAGAATAATTCTCTATTTTAAGCTAAAATGAAAGTTCGGCCTAACATTGGGCCCTAGCCCGTGGAAAGTACTCCACTACTATTTTTTACGAATAATAATAATATGATAACCTTTTAATAAATCGTAATGTTTCTGCAGTAACATTGAATAAAAATAATTATATTGACTACTTTAAAAATATATTTTAATTATTAATTGTTAATACTTATCTCTGACTTCATAAATTGTTAAAATATTCAAATTTAGTTTTCTGATAAATTCTGATTTTTTTAATATGACATTACTCAAATTACAAAATTCATTGAAAACTTATAACAGGTTGCCAAAAATAATTTAAAAGCTAAAATATATTATTGTTTTCATCTAATTTTTTGTTTAATGCGGCACACGTATGATTTAACCTATTTGATATTCTCAAATTAAATTAGACCCTTTTGTTTGAGTTAAAAGAATATTATTTCGTTATGAAGGATTTTTTTTTTTATAAACCATCATCTTAAAGAACATTAAAATAATTTTGTAAATATTTTTCATATGATTTTAACAATTATTTTTATTTAAATGTTTTCTAAAATCATTTTTTCAATTTGTTGTAATTTTTCCACTTTATATAAAATATTAAGCATTTTTTTAAATTTTAAATGCTTAAGTTAACTAACTTAAAATAATATTAATTAGTAAAACAAGAATCTAATCTAGTTTCAAAATTCATCGGCATGCGTATTAAGATATTATTTTGGATTAAATTATTCATTTTTATTATTTTAAGATAAAAATACTTACATAAATCATTTTATTTTTCAAATTCATTTTAATTGAAATCAATATGACAATAAAAATAAACTTTAAATTAATTATATAAGCTTTTTTTATAGCATAAAATGTGGAATACATCTTACGTTGCTTGTATTAATAGCGCCATCTGCCATTATTGTACGTAATTGAGTAAGACAGGCTTGCAGAAACAAAACCTTTTTAATAGTGTCTGTCTCAATGTAGTTGGAGGTACAACTGGTATTTAATGTAAGTAGATCAGCGTTTTAAAACAGGATTTTTAGTTATTCTGAAAATATGATTTTATTTATTAGAACTATTTGATTCTCTAAATTAAATTTTAAATATATTGGTCAGCTCAAATGGTACTGACTTATGTCCTTACGGGTTTAATTCTTACCAATACCATTTTGAATATAGAATAAGTCTTCCAATAATAAACAATTTGTACCAATAATTAAAAAAACTTTAATATTTATTAAATATAAATATAAATAAAATATTCTGTAAGAAATAATTATCTTTGTTATTATCCACTTTGAATATATAGATTTGTTAACTTCTACTTATACTAACAGGTATACATATAATGATGAGTTTATTTTTTCCTAACTTGAATTTTAATTAATTAACCATATAAACTTATACTAATAATATACCGAAATTCTTAATATTAGAGAATTGTAAAAAGTATAAAACTTGGTTGTTTCATAACTACATTTAAAGTGTGTTTGAAACTATATGTTTAAATTAAAAAAAAAAATAGCTAACTGTTTTTATTAGATATTTATAATCTATGATTATTTTAAAAAAAAAATTTCCTTCCAACATCTTATCTTCAAATTATCCTCAATTTTGTAATAACTTGTTTATCTTTCAGATTCATACACACTATTTATTATGATTTACTTGAGAAAAACTTATTTTGTAATAAACAAAATAAATTATATTTGGAATTGTCTTGCCTGTACGCTGTATTTTTCATGTTCTTATTTAATAAAATAAGCAGATTTCTGCTGTTTTTTAATCCACCTTTTAAAAAAAAAAACATTTTTCTTCTTATTTTAATAAATAAATCCAATTTACTTCTTAAATAAATAATTATTTTAAAAAAAATTTATTTCAAAAATAGTTATTTTAAGTTTAAACAAATTTGTTCTTACACACCATTCTCCAGCAATGATAGGGATGTTGTTCTGGTAGCGACAAACAGTCAACTTAGAGGGAAAAAAAAGGGAAAAAGCTATTCATTAATTATATCATCTTCTATGAGAATAATATTGAATCTTAAATTTCTTATAACTAAACTGGTAAATGACATCAAAGATGGTATTAATTGAACTCATTATGTGAGCAATATTTATTAGTTAAATTTGGTATTGTGATTATCCTAAGCTATTTATTAGTGTGTCCCTTGGAAAAAATTGATGTTCATTTAACCCTTATACAGGTTACAACTGCGTTGAGGAACGAAGGTTTAGAATCATCAAATCTTGTCCTTGGAGTTGATTTTACCAAAAGCAATGAATGGACTGGTAAGTAGTATATAAACAAAAATTAACTTGGTAATTTTATGATCCCCTACAATCCGTTTAAGATAAAATGAAGACATAATTGAGAACTAAAATTCGCAGAAAAATATGATTTCTGGTTTTACATTGGGATTTGGTTATTATTTCCTTTTGAAGTGATTGCTTTTTGACTGTTTGCCCACAAAAACAATGTATCCATGTTGTTATTGAAGGAAGTATCTCATTCAACAATAAAAGCCTACATGCTATTGGAAATACACCTAACCCCTATGAGAAAGCCATCACTATTATTGGCAAGACTCTGGCTCCCTTTGATGATGACAACTTGATTCCTTGCTTTGGCTTTGGTGATGGTAAGGCCTAATCCTTATTCCTGAACATGCATAGAAGAAAGTATTTTCCAATATTAAAATGGTTCAACTTCTGTATCTAAACAGCCACCACTCATGATCAAGAAGTTTTTAGCTTTCACAGTGACCATTCATCTTGCCATGGTTTTGAGGAAGTTTTGACTTGCTATCAAAAAATTGTTCCGAACTTAAGACTTTCAGGTGATTTTCATCTCAGCTTATAGTGTTCTTATTACTAGTTCAATATGCTGTAATTGACTAATTGCTGATTAAAGCTGTTCTACCTGTTGAAAAACATATCAGACACGAAATGTTGAAATACGCGTGGAAGTCTGAAATAAGCTATCTGGTCACAATCCATAGTTTTGTAATTTTCAACTGGAGTAGATTGCCAAGCTATTCAATTGTTTGACAATGGAATGAATTTTTATGTCAATGACATTAATGTCACAAAGAACAGTACTTTTCTCATCTATAATATTTACGAAAGTTAAGACTATTTTATTGTGAAAAAAATTGACGTGTGTACAATGTTTGGATCAGATACTCCATGCATTCTTACATATTTTCTGTTGCACTTTGAATAATGGTTGCATTCAGCACACTATATTATTTTTTGTAATTTTTTCGGAGTGACAATGAATGATTTAATGAAAGGTAGCAATCCTCATTTTATTAAATATGTGAGGATTCGACAGAAGATATAATTATTTTTCACTCCAAAAACATAGTTAGCATTTCGACACATGCATTGGAACAAAGCATGATATAATTTGAGTGCTATTCAACATTTTGAAAATTGAGCATAACAAGGCATGAGGTTAAAGTGGAACTTTTTAACTCCGTTAAGAAAGGTGGAACTATATTTATCAATCTCTCCTCTACCAGAAGCAGTGATGATTAATAGTTGTATGGAATGAATCATGGAGAATAAATTCCATTCCATTTTGTGTGCGTTAACAATACAAGAATCCCCATTTGATGGAATAAATCATTGAATGGAATCATCATTAGTTACTGATATCAAACATAAGATTGGTAAGCTCAAGTCTGTAGTCATGGCTGAAGAAATAAATATCTATATTTTGGTTTGAAGGACCAACTTCATACGCTCCCGTGATTGAGGCTGCAATAGACATAGTTGAGCAAAGTCATGGCCAATTCCATGCGTTAGTTATTGTTGCAGATGGCCAGGTAAATAATATTACTTTTGGTTGTAAGCATGTGATACAATTCCCATGTGTTTATAATTTTGCTCATATGAAGGTTACAACTAGTGCTGCCTCTGAAGATGGAGAACTAAGTCCACAGGAAGCAAGGACCATCAAAGCAATAGCTGATGCAAGGTACATGTAACAAATTGATAATTAAAGCCTAGATGCTTATCAAGATTAATTATTTTATAAAAAGAAATCTCTCTAAAAACAACACACAAATTATTAAAACAAAATGGAAGCTAACCTCATCTATAAGAGAAATATAATCATCTTGTCTCCAATAAAAGAGAAATATTTTGTTGAAAAAGGATGGATTTGTTCATCAACATACAATTCAGAAGGATTGCAAACTTAGTATCTTAAAATTCTAGATTGAATGTGGTGTCAAACTCATTTATTCTGATTGCTTGTGGCCTATTGGTAGGAATCTTCCGAGTGTTTATCTCTCCAATTCCATAATTTTCTGTTTTCTACTTTTTCTGATGTCAGTTCATATCCCCTCTCTATTATTCTGGTTGGAGTTGGTGATGGACCTTGGGATGACATGAAGAAGTTTGATGACAAGATACCAGCTCGCGACTTTGACAATTTTCAGGTATGGATCAACAGAAAATTCTGAATGGCATTACCTATCTATTTGCATTGTTTGCAATTTCTTTGTTTGTTATACTAAAATCATGTCTTCTTATTTATGCAGTTTGTTAACTTCACTGACATAATGTCTAAGAAATCAAGCTCGTCTGAAAAAGAAGCTGCTTTTGCTCTGGCTGCACTAATGGAGATACCGTTTCAATATAAAGCAGCCATCGAACTAGGGCTGCTTGGGTTGGTCCCTTATACTTTCATTACAAGAAAAGTGAAAATATTTGCAACATACTTTGACAGATTTCTTAAAAGCAACGTGGTTTTCTTTCAGGTGACTATTTGTTACAATTTCTGTTGGACGGTTATTTATTTGTTTTTCTTTTCTCTCTTTGTTTTTTGGACAAAAGTCGAGTAACAGGAAGGTCAAATAAAATTGTTCCAAGACCTCCTCCAGTTCCATATTCTAGGCTTGTGCCTCCAGCTCGTGCTCTCAGCAATATGCCAACTTTCATGGATGATGAGAGAAATCAAATGGTACATATAACATTGAAACGTAGATGATTCATTATATTCTCCTTTATGTCCTTTATCACATTCTCCTTTGGGTACTCGTACCGCCCTGTAGTTTAACGCTTTCTCAACTTATCCTAAACTTTTTTATGTCACCAAACCCTCTGAATTTTTAGATGAAAGGAACAAGTATTATATAGCCACAATTATGGTAATAGGCCTAAAACCATAACTAAATTAAACATGTTAATAGAATTTAGCAATTTTGATTTTAACTCAAACTTCAAGAGGGTGTGTGAAATAAACAGTTTAGTGGGTAGGTTGAAAAAGGTTAAATTACAAGAGTGTAACTTATGCATTATTATATATTTATTAGTACCTGAAAGCATGAGCGTAAAATGCCGCAACACAAGATTTTATATTTTTTGGTAGCAACGTAGCAAGTAGCACAGTGATACTTTTTTTTTTTTTGTGTTTTTACCCACTGAACTTTGTAGGCATGTGCTATTTGTCTGACCAGTAGAAAGGATTTGGCCTTTGGATGTGGTCACATGGTGAGCCTCTTTAATTCCTGGTTCCTTTCTCTTCTGTTGTTGGATAGTTTATATATGATTTTTAACAATTTCTGGAATGCAGACTTGTAGAGACTGTGGATCCAGGTTAAGTAACTGTCCAATATGCCGTCAGAGGATCACCAATCGTCTAAGGGTTTTTTCTAGCTAATCGAAGAATGGAAAATCATGTGAAATATGTATTTCAACTAATGATACGATCGGATTATTGTTTTCGTTTAGATGAATTTTTCCATAAAAATAATGAAGTAAAAAAATTGATTTTCTTTAAATTTAAATCAACTTATCACTTCAGCTCGTGGAAATGAGTTGGAGTACGAAATTTGATTTAACACGCGAAAGAAATTCAATTTTCTTTTATGGAAATATTTATCTAAATAGGGTTAAGAAGATAACTGTCTTCTGTACATTCGATGGTTTGGCTTTGAAGAGTGCTCAAGAATGATCATGGTGTTGTATGGAAACGGTGGTTTCGCATTGTAGGGATGGTTTAGGTGTTAAGAAAATTGTGCATGAATGTGTTTGAATTTGAAGAAATTTGTTCTAATTGTTGGACAATGTACATATTGTTTATATGTACTGATGTTGAAATTTATCATCCTTGAAGACTTGAACTCTCCTTCTCCAAGTTTGGTCCATATTGAGAGAGTGCCTTACCAAAGAGCATGCTTCCAATTGTATACAGAATATGTAAGTCACCTGGGCCTTTCGTCTTTTAAAAGAAGCTTCCTTTGAAGAATAACACTTCACTCCCAACAAGAGTCACTGTTTCCAACTCTTTGAAACTTCTTTTCTTTGTCAAAAGTTACTTCATGAACTTTTTTCTTTTTCACTGCAAGATAAGGAATTGTAAAACGAGAATAATTTTTATCCACTACCTTTTTTCATCTTTATTCATTATCCTTTACTTACTTCCCTTCTCTTTGTCTTTCAATACTTCCACTTCCTTCAATTAGGGACATATAATCATCTGTTTGGATTGAATTTGGGATCTGTTCTCACGACTTAAATTTTATGAAGGTAAACTAAATTCAAACCTTACAAGATTCTGGAATTTCGAAAGATGAAATTAAAATACTCACAGGAATGAATGTGAATATAACAATGGCTAAATATAAAATGACAATAAGGAAAATATTTAATTGAGAATAGGTTATCAACTTAATATATTAATATAATAGTTGTAAATCGGTTATATATTAATCAATAGATTGTTAACTAATCATCACTTCCCACAAATCATCATTGATTTAAGAGCACTTATATTATATACTTATAGTTCGTTCTTTTCCAAATTCTTGTTTAATAATAATAATCATAAACTAATAAATATAAATTTTTAAAATTTAATTAATAATAAAAGGAGTTGTTAGATTATTATTTCTTTCTAAAAAATAGAGATACAAATAATAGAATTACTTACTTTATATTTAACTTCCAAATATGAAATATAATTGGCGGTTATTTGATTTACAAAAAGGTAACATGGAACAAACACGAGTCCTATAAAAGATGTCGTGTGATGATTACTTTTTCTTCAATCTTTAAACATGTTCTCTTCGATCATCTTCAGAGTTTTTCAAAACTTAATGTTTTCTTGGTAAATTAAGTTGATCCATGTATCAATCTTAATAAAGGTCCCACATGGTGGATTTGTTTTGTGAACATAAATTTTTCATATCTATCAGTCAACTAAGCCCCTTAAGGTCATGTTAGTCAATTGGTTTTGTCCATTGACAATTGTCTTTAATTAATTATTTCTCTCTGCAACGCTGCTAGAGGTTGCTCTCTTCCACGTCTTGCTGTGCTGTTGTTAATTATTTCTCTTGGTTTTTCCCTTTCAGTTTCAAAAGACATGAATTAAAAGGGACCACACGGCAGATAGTAACAAAGACCATACACATAGAATCTTCCAAACCTTAAAAGTCCCTTATCTATCACAAAAACAAGACCCTGCCTGGAAATTGTGCATGAAGACAAGTGCTATAAATATTAATTCTGGGTGAAGACAATTGCTATAAATATGCAGTTTTGGAGTCAAAGTTGAAGCAGCCAAGTTAGTTTTGTTTGAACACAATTGCCCTCTCAATTGCCCCTTGAGCTTCCAAACCAAGATAAAATAGGATTTTGGATTTGGTCTATGGTCCCCACATGCACCTCAAATATTCAACCAAAATTTGGCTGCCTCTACCTTCTCCGAAAGTGTTCACACACACATAACTCATTCTTTATTGTATATCCCACTATCTAGACCCGTTCCCCCTTTTGTTTCTTCTACGTAATTACACTTTTACATTAAAAAAATCAAAGTAAAGAACTCGGTGAAACAGCATGGAAAATCATGCAAGTAAGAGTAAAATAAACGACACATGTATAAAAGGCTCCTACCCTTACTTAGCAACTGCAACTAACCCATCATATAGTTTATCCGTTTGGGTTTTGTTTTGACCGTCTGAAAGTTACTCACCAAGTTTTGGAATTTGGATTGGCTAGCTAGATGCCTGCTTATGGGGCATCATTGGACCTAAATGGGCTTCTTGGGATGCTTGGTTTGGGAGAAAAGGGAGCATCCATTTCTGAAGATACCACAAAAACTTGGCTTCAGATACTGTTGCTGACACTTGCGATTGGAATCTGGTTTCTGTTGTATCAGTTGGCAGAGGACAGAGAAAGCAATGACAACGTCAAAGAGGTTGATGAGTTGGGGGAGATGGATCACCCCAATCATGAATTCGACCATTTTTTTGAGCCCCATCAGAGAGAGCAGGAGCACCCCAATGGTGAGCTGGACCATTATTTTCATGAGGAAGATCGTCACCGGGCCACCGCGCCCGGTGGCAATGATGGGAGGATACACGGTGGTTGTGCCCTCTGTGGAAATTTCAGCACCACAAGGTGCTCTCGCTGCAAGGCTGCTAGATATTGGTAAGTACAGTGAAAAATGGTTATATCTTTTAGTTAAATTTCAATATTATATATATATATATATATATATATATATATATATATATATATATATATATATTATTAAGTTCACATTCTTTTAGTTAGGATTGTTAAACTGGTTCAATCCTATTCATATAACTTGGTTTATTATTGTGTTTAGCTAAAGTTGGATTAGTTTAAACCAGTTTATTTATTTTTTTTGTTTAGTACAAAATTTTGTAATCCAACCTGAAAGGTAGGTTTTTTAACTTTTTTTTTTTTAATTAGGTGAGTTGAATAGTTTAAAATATCTTTTTCTTTGGTAATAAATTAAGTTCATATTTGATATATTGTAAATGATAGATAAATTTAAGTGATTTATTTTTAGGATTTTTAAGTGAAGACCACGTCACAGTATCTCAGTAGCAGATTCAGTTCTCTTAATACGAGGAGTGGTTTAGTGGTTAACAACTAAAATATATTGTAATTAGTACGGATGATCGATGATTAGCAACTTAGCATTTGCAAATTTAACAATACAACTTGTAATTCACAAACAATTTTATACAAGTGTTTGATATTTTTAAAATATTCTTTTTTTTTTTCAACGCAATCTGAACCATGAAATTAAACAAAAAATGTTAACTAAGATTTTATGAATCAACGTCTACTAAAGTGATTATTTTTTATGTTTTTGTTAGCTCAATGAAATGCCAAATTATAGATTGGAGATGGAGGCATAAATATGAATGTTGTGAATCAGAGATTGCAGCAGATGAAGGAACCTCAAAGCTTCTCCACAATTCTGAAATAGTAGGGTTTCTATGTCTGTTTAATGACAGTGGTCAACGCTGTGTTTGGTTCGGTATATTCATTGATGTTTATTTTCAGAAATTTAAAGTTAATATATATTAATTTTAGATTTTCTAAAATAATGTCAATTAAATATATTATATTCAAAATATCTTTTATTTTAAATTATATTTTATTTTTAAAAGATATCAAGATACTTAAGGGAAAAATATATTATTAGGTTTTTAAAACTATATAAATCTACATATCAAGATAATATATAGCATAATTATATACACAAGTGTAATTAACATGTCTCAAATAGCAGTTTAAATTAGAGTATTATTTTAAAGAAAAAATAAACAAATTATTTTTAAATTATATATTCTTAAAAAATATATGATACTTAATTTAATTCTATAATATTGATTTAATATGTTGAGACTAGTTATTATATCTTTAGATGATATGAGATTTTGTAGTACAAGTATTATTTTAAAAATTACGTGATATCTAATTCAATTTTATAAAATTAATTTATGATAAAAATTATATTTACCTATAATATTATATTTTTATTTTATCTAAATATGCTAATTAATAAGAGTTGTATCAGGAGAGTGCCTCTAATGCGTCCCATGTTGATGATGGAGTGGCGTGGAGTTCAGAATCAGACAGGGGAGTGGAAGCATCCAGTGGAAATGATGTTAACAATTTCCATGGTTGTGAAGTATGTGGTTGCCCAAGTACCACAAGATGTTCACGCTGCAAAGCTGTCAAATACTGGTTAGTCTCAAACTTTCCAATTTTACACAAACTACAATTTCATTAATAATTATTTTGAATCAACTGGCATGAGTTGTGACGAGTTAATCCGTTGTATGGAGTGAGTTTTATAAGTAATTGTAATATATTCAGAAAAGGAGAGTTTTTTGTCCATTAGAATTAGCTTCAATTATCTGCTGGGTTATCGGTTTTTTTTTTCTTTTTCTTTTTTTTTCAGCTCAGTAAAGTGCTTAATTATGGACTGGAAATGGCATAAAGAGCAATGCATTACAAGTGTGGATTCAGCTCCAATAGAAAGATCCTACACAGATGTAAATTTACTCCTTGAAGCCAACATGAAGATGTCAAGTCTAAGTACAAACAAAATGTTGGAGAAAGATTATTGAAATGAAGAAAAAAAAAAAATGGGAGATGGTGATGGGGTTGGTCATATGAACATGCTTAACTGATCTTTTTCACTGTCCAAAGTTGTTGAAAGTGTCAAACCCTGAATTTGCATACATATATATATATATATATATATATATATCAAACGGTAATGAGATGTTTGAATGGATAAAGTTGTAGGGAAAAGAGGGGATAGGTAATTCTGACATAAGCAAAATATTTCTCTTATTTCACATTTTTCATAATGTAAAGATTAGGATAAGAAATTTCAGAGATATTTTATAACTTTTCAAATTTCAAAGAGAAAACCTTCACTTCCTACTTCTAATTCCATTCTCCATCCAAACATGGATGATGTTTTAGTTGATGCTATTTTAACTACTTTCCTCGCAGGTTGGAATGCTCAAGAATTCATTGGAAGAGGAAGATAATATTCATTCTTCTGGTCCCCTTTCTTTGGAGTTTCATCCAGGTTTAATTCCTTTCAACTTCTAAAATGGCTTTCCTTTACTTGATAAGAATTTTATCAGAAACATTTTCCATATTGGTTAATAACATTGTACGTTCAATTCCAAACCCTCGTTAATTGTTAGTATTCTGTCTTTATTTGGCTGTTGCAGCTGGAAGAACAAGATCCAAGTCTCCAATTAAAGTTTCACAGGTACTATTGACATAGTTTGGGAAAAATGACAATATGATCTCTTACTCTCTTTTCCTCACACTTTCTCCTATAAGATGAGATTCATGCAAATGCCACTGAATATGTAACTCTATGTCTAGTGTAGCCCTGTTTAGATGAAAAATAAAAAATAAAAAATAAAACACTCTCTCATAAACTAAAACTAGTTTATACATAAGCTTATTTGTAGAAGTTCATTCATTTAGCTTCTCTTATAAGAATTTATAAGAACTTTATTCAAACAGATTCTTACCAGGTCTCGTTTCTAGAGAGACCTACATGAATTCAACCATGTAAGAAAGTGTGGTTGAAAGAAAGTTCAAATGAGTGTCCCAAATAATTATTTGTGACAAAATGTATGTTATATTGAAGGATCCTACCAACAAAGTGTCATTATATCTTGAGGACGAAGTAGCAAAGTCTAGGTAAAATTTGTCATTCTTTCTCGACGTCTATTGTAGTTTACTTATATGAAAAGATCAAACTTAGTATTTTCTTTTGTTGGTTATTGTAAGGAATGAGACTTTACTATTACAATCAGAACTTGATGAGTGGAAGAATCGAGCAAATTTTGCTAGAGAAAAATTTCAAAGCCTCAAGAGAGAATCAAACAACCAGGTAATTAATAGGTGACACGTCCCAAGAGAAATGAGCATTGTTCAAGCAATCGAGACATCATTTCCTTCTTTTGTCCTTTCGCAGTTGCTTGTGTTGACGAAGGAAAAGGAATCAATAGCAGATGCTGAAAAGAAAGCCTGCAATGTGATTCATAGTTTACATGAAAGCCTAAACCACTTGCAGGTCTTGGATTTGACTAATTCAGTTTCCACTTTCCAGTACTTGATAGTTGTCCAAGCTTTTCTGTATCACCCTATTGTTAATTTAACTACCACACAGAATGCAGTACAAGAAAGCAATGCTGAGAAGAGAAAGCTAGAAGAACATGTACAATATTTAGAGGTCTGTTATCTTTCTTTCTTTTCTGTATTTATTTTTTATATTGATTTTTTTAAAATATTTTTAACCAATCTTAGATGCAATTCCTTAAATATTTTCGCTTCAATAATTTGAAACATAACGGTATTGCATTAACATAGATTACTACGATGAAACTATAAATTTATTGGAGAACTGTACCAAGAACACTTGAGAAATTGTATCCAAGTTATCCTCTTGCGATTTCCTTATCTGTAGGTTTCATTGACTGATGAATGAAAGTTATATGTCTTTGTTTAGAAATTTTTCTCCTTGGTTATTGTTTATTTATAGAGTGAATGTGATAACCTGAAGAAAGTACTGCAAGAAGAGCATAAACTTGCTCAACGTCTTGCAGTGGAATCTGGCAAGAGTCATGAGGCTGCAAAACTAGCCATGAAAGAAGTTGAAGCAGTAAGACAGGAGCTACAAGAAGAGAGAGAACATTCCCAACGACTTAGGGAGAATTTTCGTAGGGATCTTATATTTGCTGAATCTAGAGCTGCATTTGCTGAGGTACTTAATTGTTATCTCAATTATTCCATTGTTTGGTTCCAAATTAAAACTTCTTATTTTGGTGAAAATTTTCTGAATCTTATAGTTTCCACTCTTGGTTTGATCTCAGGCAAAACTCAGTGGTCTTTATAAAAATATCAGAATGTCAGATTATAAGGTGAACATCTCTTTTGTTTTGCATTATGTGTGTTTCTTTGCCTTTTCGGCTTACCTGTCTTCACATAAAGGAGGTGTTTTAGCCAAGCATCTTCAATGTTGAATCATGTTCATTTAGACTCAAAGCTTTAAAGAATTTTGTCCATCTAAATTCTAAATGAATGTGATTGAGTTTGCTATTAGATTGACATCAATAAAATCAAGTAATTAACTTGAAATTGGTTTAGAAGTTGGCTGCAAGATTAGACGGAAGAAAAATTGAAAAAAAGTATGTCCTGAGCTTTTAGCATGGCTATAGCAAACTCTTCTAGCCCTGCATTTCTATTCTAAGCCTAAAGTCATCTCTAATTAAATGTAGGTTTGTTCTATATGCCTTTCCAATGACAAGGACTTGGCCTTTGGATGTGGACACATGGTGAGTTCTTCCAAACAGGGATCCCTTTTGTTTTAATGTTTACACATGATAACTGTCAAGTAATGAATCCTTCTGCAGACTTGTAGAGAATGCGGAACAAAATTATCAAGGTGTCCTATATGCCGAAAGCAGATCACAAACCTTATTAAGCTGTTTCCTGGTTGACTAAGTTTGTATATATAATCCCTCAACAAAGTTTTTCATCCTGTCACACACATTCCCTTTCACACCATGTCTTATGGTTCTACATGTGCACTCAGGTTACTCATACCTTGCTCTAGTATTAGATACTTTTATGTACTCTTGGAGCCAGCAAATATGTACAGCTATTAGCTATACAATCCAAGTCTCATACATGGTTAATAGTGTTTCATGGTGTCAAGTGGAAGATGGGATGTTTTACCACACAATCTTGCACCAGTTGTACTCATCTAGTCCCTCATGTCTTCTTTTATCCCAGACAGAAAGGAACATGTATATAATGATGCCATCAACTAACCCTATGAAAACAGTGCAAAAATCAAGTTGTCCTGACACCAATGTGTTCCACATTTCCACTGCAAGAATTTTACATAGCCTAAGTGAACTTTCCATCAGTAATTAGTAGAGTTTTCTGCTCTCCATTAGATTTATTCTTAACTATCATTTAGAACATAGAATTGCAGAGAAAGTGAAAGTGTTTCTTAGCTGAACCTTAAAACTGTCACAGATTTTCAAAATTCATGAAAGCTTACATCCTTTCGTGTGAAAGGTGTAATGAATATTATTTATATTTGTAATTTAAAAATAGTTAACACTCACTATATTTCCCTTTGTTTTATTCCTCCCTTTGAGGATAATTATTCAACCATTCCCTGCACGTTGTAAGTTTATTATCAAACTTTTTTTTTTTCCAGTTTATAACGTTTAAAAAACAAAGACCTGGTTATCAGTTTATTATATCACAACGTTAAAGAAAAACTTGGAACAGAACACTGTGAGCACGTTACCCTCTTATATGGCATGTTTGTTCGGTTTCCATATTCTCTGTTGTTGCCTGTGGCTATAGAGGATTAAGAAAACCATTATTATGGGAACTGTTCACAATATGCTTGCAGTGGGGCAGATGCCTCTTGATTTTGTTAAAATTATTATTAAGTATATGCAAAAATATTTTATTTTATTTTCCTAATTTTATATAATTAAACCTGCATATTGCTGCTATATAATAGATGTATACTTAAAAATGTAGAAATATACTATTTTACTTAAAGAAATTATCTCCACTAACTTAAAATCTTAAATCCGTTTCGATCGAGAACATAGAAACCATATCAAACAACTCATTATTTATAAATATATTGGTCAATTTCATTAATCTAAATTGATTTTGAGAAGAATTATGATATAATATATCATTACAGATGAAGGGATTAGGGTTCATATTATCAAAAGGTTAAGAAAATGTAGGGTGTATCAGATATATATTTCAACTGTACGTAAATTTCATGAGCAATTAGAAAAATTCTAGGAAATTATCGTAGCACAACATTTAAGGGTACCAAAATGCGTGCATATAATCAACTAACTAAATTCTAGATCCTTCGTTTACCATGACCATTGAGTTCTAGAATAAATTATATATCCAGAAAAAAGTATTTGTTTTTTTCTTTTTATTTTTCAATAATCCTATAATGAAGAATTTGAGACATGTAAAATTGAAAACAAACACATATAGTCATTTTCAATTGGAAAATATTGGAGGGAATAATCTATTTAGATATAAAATTCAACATCAACATGAGATCACTATACCAGTTTACCTCAACAAAATTTAGTAACTAAAAATAAGATTTTTATAATTGAAATTAAAGTATATATATAACTCATTAGGATATGGCGCAACATGCATATTTTGTTTAAGTGGTTTATAATAAATATGATTTATTATATTTAACATATATGATTTAAAAAATTTAGGGATTATATTCTTATTTTATTTATTTTAGATGCCAAATTAATAATTCATTGCAATTTTTTAGAGATTTTACTGACTAATAATGTATTTCAGAAACTATATTCTACCATTTTGTTAATTATAGACATCAATTTGAGTGATTATACAACTTCAAGTACTAATTAGTGTTTTTTTTAAATTAATATTATGCACCAAAAACTTTAAAAATATTAAAATAATTTATTGATCAATTAAAATTAATAGATCCAAATTAAGCAAGTTAAATCACCCCGTAATCATCTCATAACAATATAAGAGGAAGTTAAGGCAAATGATGAGAGCTAACAAAAACTTGAGTTAGGTCAATGTGGTTTTCTAATATTGCCAAAGTTATTGCTTAATATTCTAGTTTTTCTGTGTTGACTGGTTCTCGTTTTATGATCTCTTCCAATTAATTTTCCCTTAAAATAATGGTGACAAACATCAGGGAAGAAGACATGGGATTTCCATATCAACATAAATAAATACTAATTACCGATAAGCTAGCTGAAGAACTATATATATAATGATCAAGCTCTCTTTTTTCCTTGACTTTCCGGTGTGTAATCCAAGAGTGGCAAATAAAACATTCTGTGATGCGTGTCTATGGGGTATACTTGAGTCTGAACTGTGTTCTTATGTTCATGGTGGTGATGATATTACCCTTCCTAGGGTTGCTTTTCTGGCTTGAAAACAAGTTATCCAATGATTCCAGTGAGGCCAATCATTTGAAGGAACATGAACAGATCAATGATGAAAGAAACAACACCCTATTCTGTGAACGAGATAGTGCAAACTGTTCTTGCCCCTTCTGTGGCAGATTAAGCAACACAATCACAACATGCTCACGCTGCAGAACTGCTATACATTGGTAATAAACCCTCAAAGTTTCATTCACCCCTTTTGGTTTTTATATGCATATAAAAATACTAATGCAGTCTCAGCATAAAATCACTTGAAGTTTGAAGTTTCCATATTTTGATTGGTTTATGATGGATTTCATTGATGTTATCAGCTCAAAAGCATGCGATGTTAAGCACTTGAAGCTCTGCCATAATATTGAATGCGTTGAGATAGAGGGGTCAGAAGATCAGCCAGAATCACCTTCTCATGGAACTCATTGTCTTCTCATGGTGCTACTGCTTAAATTATTCAGTCCATGTTATCATATATGTTCAAGTTCACACCAATTTCCTCTTGATGCTTCTTTCCCAGAAAAGTCCTATGATATATACAAGTTTGATATTATAAACAATCATGTGGGGTTGTGAGGAAAACATTACTAACTTGTTAAGTGTATGTTAAGCAACCCTACCAAAAAAATATTTAGAGGGAATGATTGGTTTGATTATAAAATTATATATAAGATGTCATACTCTCATTTTTTTTGGTCTACTTGATTGAACCAATTGTGCAGGATAAATACTCATTGAATGAAGCTGAGGAGAGAAGATATGCAGGAGATTTTTACCATATTGAAGGAGGAGAAAACAGTGTTGATGAGTTGTGTGATGAAACATCATTGATATGTAGACATGGCATTGTAAATGGTAATGAAGGATGTGCAGTGTGTGGAAATCCAAGTTCTAAAGTATGCTCAAGATGCAAAGCCATAAAATATTGGTAAGTTTCTATACCCTTCTCCAAAGTCAACTTAACCAAACTTTTGAAGTCAATGCATTCTTTCTTGCTTTCATGTTAATTTTTATATTTTTTTAATGTTAATGTTTCATTCCTCTCTGTGCTTAAAATGATGCGTATCTTTATTTTCTACACAAATATAATATTACAATGATATTTAACAAAGTCTTTGGACTTTTAACACATATTTTAATATATTTTAGTGCAAGTTATTGTTTAAAAAAAAATAGACAGATTAAGTTAATAGTTGGATATTTGTTGTTATTGTAATGAAAATATTTTGATGATTTATATATTAAATCTTTGTATTAAAGAATAATTATTAAGGATTTTGAAATTTTACATAAATGATAACTAAATTAATTGAATAAGTTGTGTGTGTTATTATAAATTTTCTGTATTCAACTCCTGCCAAAAAATACAAAAATCTAAAGCATCAAATTAATGGAAGTACAAGGGATGGATATGTTGTGATTTAGTTTTTTTTTTTTTTTTTTTTTAATGTAACTTGGTATTAAAATATAAGTTTTTATAAAGATAAAAAAAATATTTTTTATAAATGTAAAGGATTATTTTTTTAAATCTAACTTATTATCATCGATGTGACTCTGACAAATATGAAACCCTAAGAAAAATTATTCAGCTTTTCACACATCATATGTCTTTAATTAGTCTTTACCAAGTTTTGTAACTTTGTCATTTATCATAATATAATTATAAAGCTGATACCTCTTTAATTGATAATAATCTAGATTAATTGTATTTTGATATTTGACTTTCATAAAAAAAATTCTATTACCATGTCAAATTAAAAAAAAAAATTCTCTGTTTATCATTATAACCTAGAAATTTTTCTCCCTAAAATAATACAACTAGGTTGTTTCCTTTAAAACTAAAAGATGCTCCAAATCACTTGACTCGTAGATAATTGACTCAAAATGAAGATATTTTAAATGCAAAAACTATTCAAGTTCTATATATAATCCAAGTATATGATGTAAGGTGATGTCAATGAATTTTCTTCATAACTTTTCGTGAGTCCTATTCTTTCTAATTTAATTTTCATATATTAGTCTGAGATAACTTTTTTTTTTTTTACATTTTTAATGAATTAAAAATTACCTAGATGCAACTTTTAACATATTTATTATAAACGGAAAAATAATGTGTTATACATGATTTTACATAATTAGATAAAATGTAAACGCTTTTATATTATTAATGTATTCTAATTATTTTTCTTTTATAGAATTTTTTTCAATAAATAATATTGGGTATTTAAAATATCATAACCGTGCAATTCCTCAAAAAAAAAAACTTTTTAATACTTTTGTTAGATACTTGATATTTTCTTTTGTATATAAACCATTTCATGATTTGTTTTCATAAAATAAACTATGTATTGAACATATATGCACCCCACTAATTGAATGTTATACTATCTAAATTCATAATATAAGTTTTTATATAATTATTTGAGTACTTAGCCTCTTTATCCTATGTCATGTAAACCATTTAAATTTCAACATGTTATAGCACTTCTATTTGTTGTTGACTTCAGTTTCTGGTTTAATTTAATTTGACCCAGCTTTTAGTCAAGTTGAATTTTAACAACCATCGTAATCGTAGTGATGGTCAAGTACGTAATAAGGACAAAAATGTTACAAATATATGCATATATTTTAGTTTGAAACATGTTCTGTCACTGGGTAATTGTACAAAGAAAAACTATATGATATAGAGATGATAATTAAACTCGCACTGCAGTGAAACCGATCCGTCCCGTCTTGAGTTTGACGTGAAAAACCTTAGTTAATTGGGGGCGGGACGGGGACGGGTTCGGGTTTTCCAGCTTTAAAAAGTCGGGGCGGGGATGGGTAATGCAATCCTCACCGTCCCTGCCTGACTTTATATTTAAATTTAAAATTTAAAATATTAATACTTTAAATATATTTTCTTTTCTTTTTCTATTTCATATAAAGTTATTTTTTTAATATTTCACCAATTTTATTTTTCTTTTACCCACTTTTAATTTTTTTGTCTTTTTTAATCTTTTATATCAATTAATTTATTACATTATTTTCTCTTACCTTTCTGTTTTTTACATTTCCTTAATTTCTCCGATCAATTTATTTATTTTTTTAATATTTTCAATCAATTTGATGAACACAAAGTAATTTTTTTTATCTTTTTCTAAATATTTTACATAAATCTTAGTAGTAACTAATATAATTTTATTTATAATTTATATTTATTAGGTTTTATTATGTCATATTTTTTTATCTTATTATTCTTATTTATCATATATCAATATCTTAATAAAATAATTATATTTTAAAGGATTAAAAGAATTTGATAATTTAAACTTTTATTACTTCGAACTAATTAAATAAGAATTAACTTATTAAATATTTTCTTATAAACTATATATTTTATATTTTTAAATGACAACTTAAAAATAAATTAACTTATATATATACTTAAATGTTTGAATAAAATATTATAATAATAATGTTATAAGTATTCAAATATTTGAATATAATAATAATAATAATAATAATAATAATAATAATAATGTTATAAATATTCTATATATATATATATATATATATATATATATATATAGAAATAAAAAATATTTGAATATTTTTTACATACATATTTTAATATAAATATAATAAATTAAAATGTATATTTAATTAATAATATTTATAAATTATAAAATTATAAATATTTATTTATATATAAAAAATACATAATAAAATTAATTTATTATAAATGTAATTATCTTTTTAAAAATAATATAGATCGGGGACGGGCGGGAATCGAAACCCAGCGGAGACGGAGATGGGAACTTAATTTTTAACCCGTGGAGATCGGAGGCAAGGACGGGGATGGTTAAAAAGTCGGAGGCGGGGATCGGGAAGGCAAAACCCGCCCCACCCCGCCCCATTGCCATGCCTACCTAACATGTCTGAATTATATATATTTTAGAGTTTAATGTTGGAAAAACAATAATAATAATAATAATCCTGATTTTGATTCTAACGATCAAACATAAACATAATCCCATACTGATAAACATGTTGTAAACTGAATGCGAAAGCGTACCTGAATTAGCCATAATGATGATGTCTTTGTAGAGCACTGTATTGATCTTATGGTCTTCCACATGAAGAGCACCTGTATTTCCCTCTTGATTTTCTCTCTTGATGGGGATAGAAAGAAAGGAACGGGACTGATACTTACGTTCTGTGTGTGTGCTCTCAGAAGGGGACCATGACCCTTTAGATAACCAGAATTAGGTTAATTACTTAAGTTTTAGTATTTCCAATTTGGCCCCTCATCAAATTAGAAATTGCTCTATGGTCTCTACACAATTTTATTTTCATGACATATGCTTTTAGCCAAAACTTTAATTTAGTCAGATCACTTTATTATTTGACTTAATAAATAATGACCCTAACACATTTAAATATGTATCATATATATACATGACCCAAAATTTGCCAACAATCTCCCCCTGGTCACAAATATATATGTCTTTACAACCTTACAAATGTGTTAGACTTTATGAGCTCAAAATTGTCATTATATTCCTTTAGCATATTCCAAAAGTCCTGTCCATTAATCATATCAGGATATAGAACCAAATCAGCTTTTCATTGCATCATCGCAACTAAAACCAACAAGATTACTCATCCTGACATAACCAAATGACATGGATTTATCATGAAATGTGTAGCATGAAAAATTATGTGAAGGTGATCTGTACACGTCTATTTTCAACTGGTCCAAACTTTAACTTATCGAGATCGATACAATAACCTTAATGTACAAAGTGTAATGAATGAACAAGAAAACCGCATATCTATAGATAACCAAATATGTCCAAAAAACAATGTATACATATATAAAATTAAACATAGAACATAAAATATATGAAAATGACTAACTCCCACTAAACCACAAATTCCTCAAACTGTAAAACACCCATGTGAGCAACATGCTCATGAAAGACCTTGGGCGGAAGTCCTTTAGTTAGAGGATATGCTATCATGGAGTTTGTCCTTAAGTGTTCTATGGAAATCTGTTCACTTTGTACTCTTTCCTTAACAATACAGCTGATTTATTATCACAATATAACTTAAGTGGTCTTTCAATGCCTTTCACAATTTGCAGCCCTATGACAAAATTTCTCAGCCATATTCCATGATTTGATGCCTCATAGCATGCTACAAATTCTTGACATCCTGCAAAATATGAGTCAGAAAATCCAGCGATCTCCAACTGGTCTGACCTCCTATTGTGAGCATATAATCTTTTGTTCTCTTTAAATATCTTATGACCATTTTTGCTGCTTTTCAATGGTCTATTCCTGGATTACTTAAATATCTGCCTAGAACCCCAACTATGTATGCTATGTCTAGACGCGTACATACTTTAGCATACATCAAACTCCCTACAGCTGATGCATAGGGAATCTTTTGCATTTCCTCAATTTCCAAATTCCCCTTTGGGCACTGATTGATACTAAACTTGTCTCCCTTTAAACTTGTGATACACACAATCATCAACAATATTCATCTTGAAGTCAAATGAGTTTCATACCTTCTGGTAATGGGACAAGTTCCCAATAACCTTATTGTATTGCATGGACTTATACTTCTCATTCATTGCTTCAATCCACTTTTGAGAGTTAGAACCTTGTATAGCTTGACGGAAGTTAAGTTCTCGTCTCAAAAATTGTCTTTAATGTGGGATCATAAAATTTATATCCCCTGGATCTTTCAGCATAACCAATAATATAACCACTTACTGTTCGGGAGTCCAATTTCTTTTCATTTGACTTATAAGGTCTTGCCTCAGCTGGACAATCCCACACATGGAAATGCTTCAGACTAAGTTGTCGCCCAATCCAAAGCTCATAAGGTGTTTTGGTAGCTGCTTTAGTTGGTACTCTGTTTAGAATATAAGCTGTCATAT